CATCGGCAGCAGGAGCAACGGCAGTGCCAGACACGTAATCGAACAGTGAAACGCCCTCTTTGGTATCGGTCAGAAGGAACAGTTGCAGGTCGTCTAGCCACACAGCGAACTCTATGGGGCGACCGTCAGGTTCGAACGCGAGAACATTAGGCGTCGTCATAACGGCAGCAGGCAAAGGCAGCAGAAAGCAGGCAGGCAGTAGACACGAGGCAGCAGGCAGTAGACAGCAGGCTAAGACAGAGGCAGTAGGCAGCAGGCAGTACAGGCAACGTGCAGGGCAGTAGCTTGCTGCACTCGAGCTCCTAAGGTGGCGCTCTAGACAGTAGCAGGCCGCACAATTCTAAGGCAGCGGGCTCGGCAGCAGTGAGCCTCACAGGCAGGTACACGAGTAGGGCACGCGCGGCTGCTGGCTGCATGCGGCTGAGGGCTGCGCGCGGCTCTCTGCTGCGCGTGGCTACGTGCTGCGCGCGGCTCCTGGCTGCACGTGGCGACGGGCTGCGTGCGGTTCCTGGCTGCGCGTGGCGACGGGCAGCGCGCGCGGCTGCGGGCTGCGTGCGGCGACGGGCCTAAGCAGGCTGCGCGCGGGCGGCGTAAGGGGCGTGCGGGCTCTACGCGGGCTGCGCGGGCGACGCGGGCCGGCGCGTGGCTCTGCAGCAGTGGCGCGCGCTAAAAACAGTGACGCGCGCGCTAGAAACCGAGGCGCGCGCGGAAAAAAAAGTGACGCGCGCTGCAGCCGAGGCGCGCGCGGGCAGTAGGCAAGGCAGGCAGGTGGTAACACAGTTAGGTGGGCCCGATTCTTAGGTCCTAGAGACCTCCTGCTCTAGATACCATGTCAAGACTAAGTCAAGGGAATGGGTGAGATTGGGTCAAGGTTGGGGTACAAGACTAGAGTGTCGAGAAAGTTTCTGTACCCCCTAGTGCTAACCCCCATACAGTCTAGATAGCCTAAACATGCATATATAATTTGACAGCGCAGTATCAGATCATCGGGTGCGGTTAGATATGGATCCTTGAATGCCATCACGTTGCTTGATGCCACCAGGGGAGCAACCTGCATTGTTCATGCAATGAGAAACATTGGGTCGGCATGGTAGTGCAGGGGAGAACAAGGCGAGCCATGCGGAGAATCAAATCGTATGGTGCGTTTAGATATGGATCCTTAAAGGCTGCTACGGTACATTGTTTGATGCCACCAGAGGAGCCACCTGCATTGTTTGCGCAGAGAGGAACATTCAACAATGGGCGCGGTAGCTGGCTGTAATAATATTGAGGGGTGCATGTGATGTGACGGAAAATGGAAGTACCTGACAGGCACGAGCAACAGAAAGACAACGGCAATAGCAGGGTGTATAGGGATGGTACGGTTGAGCTGTTGGTTTCATGGCAGCGGCAGCTTTCTTGTGCCTCGCCATTGCTAGTGTCTCAGCCATTGTTCATGCCTCACCTCAAATCATGCCCCTCCCTCCGCGCATGCCTCACCCATCACTCATCCCCCCCCCATCACTCTTCGCCCATCCGTCGTGTCTCTGTATTGGTGATTGAGTGAACGTAATGTGGATTAACAAGTAACGGGGAAGAATAAGAAATGTATAGGAAACGAGTAAGTGCACTGATTTATGATGAAAAGGCTTCGTAGTTGCCGACACGAATAGGCAGTCGATACACGAAATTAGAGAAATTGGGTACACTCAAAACTGCAGTAGGGAGAATACCACGTAAAGGACCACATGACATCAATGGGTTGTGCATGAGCAGCGCATGATAATCATCGATGCAAATCTCGACCCCTTTCAAAGCCACGCATAGATTTTATGCGCATAGTAGTTACGGTGCATGTGCTGAGGGTGCATGTGCTGAGGGTGCATGTGCATGTGCATGTGTTTTGAGGCGTCTCAAATAAAAGTTAATTCATGGTCATACACAGATACATGGTTGCAATGAACGTACAGATGAGTTAGCCTGGTCATGCCAGGGCTGTACATAGCTGGCGGAATGATTCCTTGAAGCTTATTCGCCCGTAAATCCCTGAGGAGAAGACGAGAAATAAAATTGTCAATTACACCGTCATTGTTACACTCGGTCCATCAGCGTTACGAAACATATGCTAAGCAACAGGGATGTTCGTTAATGCGAGTTAAGCAGCAAGGCAATACCGACTCACAGATGTGCAAGGATATTCATGCTGCCAATGCTGTTGGGAATGGATCCGTTTAGGTCGTTGTATGCTAAATTACTGCAGTGCACAGGGTGGCATCCATTTCCGAAGCGTATTTAAACTGGCTAAAAGCGTTCTAGGAGAAATCCAAAGTACAAATGGTCTTTACAGCTAATCCTAAATTACCTCAGGTTGTCCATATAGCCAATATAAATAGAAGTTTACTGCAAGAATACTGACAGATATGTAAGGCTGTCCATATTGCCGATAGAATAAGGAATGGGCCCAGTTATAGTATCTAATGAGAGGTTAAGGCGTGGCCAAGGAAAAAGAGACGGCCAGAGGGAGTGGAGCAAAGGAAAGAAACGATTAGGAAGAGGAGCAGGAAATGTACCAGCCGAGGCACATTTCCTCCAAAATGCACACAGCCTAGGCACACATGCCTCTAAAATGTCACAGGTTGGACAGGTTTGGAAGCTTGCAAATCGTTTGACAAGCGCACAACTTGTAGATTCTCACAGGTAAGACAGTTTAGGAAGGTTGATGATATGATCAGGGAATGTCCCGGAGAAGTGATCTCCTGAAAACCTTCTGAATTTATTTATCCGCAATGGAAATGGAGTGGGAGGAAAACAAAAGGATGAAAAACAGGTGCTTGCACCTTGAAGACTGAGCATTAGCACTGATGCACTCCCATGAAGTCCGTGAAGGGATATTATGGCGGTGACCCAAATAAAAAAGGGCTGACTTTAATAGTGAGCTTCACTTATACCATTGAAAAGGACAGAAGAACCACTCTCTGTAAATGAGGCACTCAATTGAGATTGCTAAGAAAAAAAAAAAAAAAAAAAAAAAAAAAAACGCCTAATACTACTGGAAGAAGGAAGGGGATACATACAAATGCGTGAGGCCCATCAAATTGGCGATGATAGACGGAATAGATCCATTCAAGGGAACATAAATTAAGTCCCTGTTGAGACATGCAGGGACGATGGGCCATGCAGGGAGGTTGGGACGTGACATGCGGGGATGTTGGGACATGCAGGGATGATGAGACATTGACAGGGAGGACATGCAGGGATAAATGGGTCATGCAGGGACGGAAATTGCCCCTCACATACTTGTCACGACGCGGCTCACATGCTTGTCACAATGCCATCGCCATTGCAGCGAATCTGGCCCCCTACTATGCTCGTTTCCGGAGTTCCGTTGGTGCTGCACTCCGCTCCTGCTTCCCACCCAGTGAAATTCCTGCCCCAACCAATATTCAGCTCCTGAAGAATTTCTCCTGGAGATAGGAGGAGAGAGGGAGAGAGAATGGGGGACGGAAGGATAGGGAGAGGAAGCAAGGGTTAGGAGGGAGGCATGCAGTAAATGTGTTGTGCGAGTGCTTCACCCACCCGGGGAGATTCATGCGGCAAGCCGACGGACTTGGGAATCATTCAACGGTACACATCCTACTGGAGGGAACGTGGAAAACGTTTTTTGAGTCGACTCAAAAAGCGACTCAGAAAAGCGACTCATGCCGCAAGACTACGGACCTTGGTAATAAGTCAACGGTACACATCCAACTGGAGGAAACGCGAGACAAGCCAGCAAGAACAGCGCGCCGAGCAGGAAGATTGAGCGCTCCATTGTTTTGGACGAAGAATATTTTTGAGGCGCCTTGGGAATCGACTCGCTTCCGTAAAACGTTTGCTACTGCTACTGCTACTGCCGCGGCTTTCGTGAGAAGCGGAGATAATGAAAAGTTTATTCGAGGAGATTCGCTACCGACATACGTACAATAGCTCTCTGCTAATGCATGCGTCCTGAAAAGAACTAAGCTGCTGTAATCTTGGGTTTCAGGGATGAGAGGGGAGAGAGAAGGGAAAGCCTTGCCCTGCTAGTGAGGGGTTGATGATAACCGAACAGCTGCGGTAACATCCAGATCGTCGCAATTTCCCGTTACGGCCCTTGTTAGAGGAGTTTTTGATCTGTACGACTTCAGAATATGGTAACAAAGTATTCGCTCAAGGCTTCACCTTCTTGCCCTAACTTTCGCCTGGACATGGTAGCTCGACCTCATCCACCTTCCTGATATCTCGCAAATGAATTCGCCAGCTGGGCATGGGGAGTTCTCCTTGCACTGCTGTCTGGTGACTCAGCTTCGCGCTGGAGGCGGTGGCGATGGTGTTGTTCGAAGAGTGCGGACTGCGTTGACTGATGATGTGGCTTGGGTAGCAATGAGCGCATGTCCCCGTTCTGTGTGCGACCCAGTATGAATTTCTGATTCGCGTTATTATTATTACGATTTGCATTATATACACTGTACGATTATGGAGATGCGTAAATTGCAGGAATTGCTGAACAACACAGAAAATAGCTGAGCACAAACCACTTCTGTTCTATATAAAAACTTGAACTTCAGCGCGAGCTGGGTTTATCGAATCCGCGTCAAGCTGACGTTTTCACGGGATGACAAATTCTGGCACTCCAACTACAGTTACAATTGCGGGGCAAAACGAAGATAAGCGAAGCAGACGACCCTAGGGGTTGCCACTATGACGGTTTCGCTCAATTCGCACGAAGGTTTCGCGTTAGGCCAGCCTTATAATACTAAGGGCAAGGTGATCATAACAGTGGTAGTTATTATGAGTAGCCATGCTGGTTCTTATGAGTTGTGATTGCCGTAAGCTTATTATACTGCACGCTTGCTGTTGCCAGTTTTCCGTTAAACTCTCTCGCGAGCTTGAGTCGATTTCTCTTTCACGATTTGAGAGCGAGAGTTTTTCAGTATAGTTGTCGACTTGCCGAAGCTAGCTTGTGCAGTTTAGTTCCGCAATCGAGCCGATTTTTGTTCGCGATGATTGCAAAAGGAGAGGGTCTCGAGAAGAAAGAGAAAGAATGGGGGGAGGATGCGGGGTGGGAGGAGCACGAGGCAGATGCGAGTGAGCAGGTGGAACGAGAGGAAGAGCAGGAAGATGAGCGAGAGGAGAGGAACGAGGAAGAGGACGACGAGGAGCGAAGAGCAGAGGAGCGAGGAGAGGAGGAGAGAGGGGAAGAGGAGGTATTTTCGATGCGCTTGGTGTGCATCGATTACTACATGGATGCTCCGATTCCTGGCCTAGATGCTGCTTTCTCACCCTTCCACGGTAAATGGAACGAGAGTTTGCATCTTCCAACTTCTCTGGTTACACATAAGATGACATTTAACTGCACAGGTTGCACATTAGTTGACATCTGACTGTTCTGGTTGCACGTTTGGTGACATCTGATTGCTCTGGTTGCACATTCGGTGACATCATGCCACTCTGGTTACAAATTAGGTAAATCTGACTGCTTTGGTTGCACATTAGGTGGCATCAGAATGTTCTGGTTCACAATCGGTGACATCTGACTGCCCTGATAGCACATTTGGTGACATCAGACTGCTTTGGTTGCTTCGGTGACATCTAATTTGACTGCTCTGGTCTCAGATCTGGGGACATCTGACTGTTCTGGGTGAAGATGAGGTGACGCCTGGTTGCACATTCGGTGGTCTCTGGCTGCTCTGATTGCACAGCAGCAGTTGGCGTCTGACTTCTTTGCAATCATGGCAGGTCTTTTTGTGCAGAATAGTGTCAGATTTCAGCTTTCGGATTCTTTATGTGCCACGTGGCAGGGCGAGCAGTGGATAAGGTGCCAGTAGTGCGAATCTTTGGATCCACCACCATGGGGCAACGAACCTGCCTGCACTTGCATGGGGTACGTTTCGTCTAGGAAGGAACCTGCCTGCACCTGCATGGTTTCCAAGATGATGGTACCGAGCCGTGTGGCACCGCCACGCCACCATGACGCAAAGGGCATTCCTGCAATAGCTGTTAGTTCACTTCTATGAGAGTAGTTGCACCCTCACCTCTCCTTTGACCATCGTCCATGTTCTGCTGCAGGCTCTCCCGTACTTCTACGTGCCATATGATGACGACCTGTGCCAGTATATTGGGATAGGTTGTTTCTAAGTTAATACTACACCTTTTTTTGTACCATCCACCCTCTGCTGCAGGCTCTCCCGTACTTCTACGTGCCATATGATGACGACCTGCCTCAGGATATCGCTAAAGGTATGGCTCGTGGCGGTTGAACATCATGGGATGCTTAATGGGCCATTCTCATGACTCAGAGAGTTTTCAGAAGTGGCTGATTATTTCTGTGAGATTTCAGAGTTGGTACTCGATTCGTAACCTTCCTCCCCCCTCCCCTCCCTGCCCCGCTTCGCCATCGCTCCTCACTTCCACACCAGCACAAATCTTCATGCGTCAGCTGGCTTCAGCACTGGAGTATGCACTCAAGGTACAGCTTTGAGTATACAGCATGCATCATATCCCCTTTTGAGTATTCTCAAAAGCCACTGAAGGTACAGCCTTTTAGTATAGTGTCTAATCCAGTCCGTTCTTACTTTTCTCTTGTTCTGTTGCTCTAATTGTTACCCAATTGCGTTTTGAGTCCACTCGCATCATCTCGGTCCCCTCCCTCCTTACACCGCATTTCAAGCTTCTCAGGTTGAAAACCCGTGTGCGCACCCAAGCGGCAGCACATGGATGCATGCACCCAACCTGTATGAGCGACCTCTGCCGCTCTTGAAATGTTGGGTTTTCTTTCCCCACCACCTCGGCTCTTGCTTCCCCGCTCCGCCCCATTCTCCTCCCCACATCCACCTTTCCATTCCCTCAGGTTGCAAGCCCCTATGCCCGCAAGAGGCAGCACGTGCATGCATGCTCCCTGGTGCGAGCTCTGCCGTTCTACGGTTACCACCCCCACGAATCGCTCTTCATCAAGCTGGAGATGTGGGTGATGTGCGGTGTGATGCGGTCTGTTGCAGTGAGACGTGGTGTGATGAAATAGAGTGTGGTGTGATGTGGTGATGTGGGGGTTAGGTCATTCTCGCACGAGCACTGGCTTCCTATCGCTAACTTTGGCATGGGATGGCATGGCATGGCATGGCATGGCATGGCTGGCACGGCATGCATTCCCCATCCATGCAACCCCATGCCATGCATGCATAGCCGCGTTCACACACCCTGTACCCCATGCCATGTCACCATGCCCTGCACTGAATGCAGGTTCTATCCGGATGAAGTGACCCGTGCTGCATTCATCCTTTTGAGTCGACTCAAAAGTCACCGCGCTCACACACCCTGTTCCCCATTTCACCCTGCTCTGCACTGGACGCAGGTTCTATCCGGATGAAGTGACCCGTGCTGCATTCATCCTCCAGGTTGGTGGGTGGGTGCGTGTTTTGGAGTGTGTTGGATTCGTGTGATTGAAATGGATTTGGAAGTACGCACATGAGGATTCCAGCACAAGTCATGCCGTATTTCTCATAAATTGCCTAAATGATTCGCCAGTTGCAGTGGTGAATCCTAGAAATTGTGTCACATCGCAATGGAAAATCTGACATGCATGACTCACCCATTGCTTGCACCATGTGCAGTCAGGAGCAGTGATGGGGCGGGTGTTCCAGCCACACGAGTCTCACATCCCGTATCTCCTTCAAATCAAGGTGCAGTTCTCTACTGTATATTTTTGTAAGCACATAGTGGCAAGATATGTTTCAGTCATAAGTTTCTTTGGGTCTGCTTGCAGTAATTCTCCTCCAACGCTTCTCCAACATTTGTGTCTCCCATGCCCCATGCCCCATTCCCCATTACCCGTGCTCCATGCCCCATGTCCCATCCCCCCCGTGCCCCCATGCCACCATTTCATGACTCAGATTGACTACAATCTCGTGGGAATGGGTCTCGTCCGCCTCTCTCAAGTCCTCTTCAGACCACCCCTTCCCACGCACCCTCCTCCTCACACCTCTCCGCCACCTCCACCTGCTGCTGGTGACGTGAAGAGAATTCGAGGGGTGTATTTCGCAGGAAACGTCCCTCCAGGGTGCTTCTGGGGGGCCAGAAGGCAGGAGGGCGGACGCACATTCGAGGCAAGGGGAAGCATAGGGAGGAAGAGGGGGAGATGGTGCGAGGAGAGTCTACCTGAAAGGCGTGAAGGGCGTTCAGGGATTGACGGTGTGCGGCGGCAGAGTGTGTGCGAGCTGGAGGCGGATGGGTGCGTGTCAGGTGGGTGGGAAGCGGGGACAACAGTGCGTGGGGAGAGGCTTAGGAGGGTAGGGCTTGCATAGGGATGGTGTTCGGCGTCAGAGTGTGTGCGAGGTGGAGGCGGATGGGTGCGTGTCAGGTGGGTGAGAGCAGGGGACAACAGTGCGTGGGGAGATGGCTTAGGAGTTCAGAAGGGTAGGGCTTGCATAGGGATGGTGTGCAGCGGCAGAGTGTTTGCGAGCTGGAGGCGGGTGGGTGCGTGTCAGGTGGGTGGGAAGCAGGGTCAACAGTGCGTGGGGATGCCTTAGGAAGGCGGAAGGGCTGGGTTAGCAGACGGATGGTATCAGGCGGAACACAGCATGCGGGATGGAGGTGGGTGGGTGCGTGTTGGGTGTTTGGGAGAGGATGGAAGTAGGGGGTGGGGGAGAAGGTCGGGGGTTGAAGGGGATGGGGACAAAAGGATGACATGAGTACTTGTGGAATTGAGTGGTTGGACGACGAAGGGTGCTCTTTTGCCAACTAGGCTTGTTTCTTGACTTGGGGTGGGTGAAGGTGGGTAGGAAAGCATGCTCACTTAGACTGCATGTGTGAGTCGTGATTACAACGCATGCCATGCCTTTGTGATCAACACTCACTAAGAAATGGGTCACATGGTGAGCGGTAATAGGATTACGGATTGCTCTGCTTGCCTACCCCAGTCCCTTGTCCATCCCTTGTTGAGAGGGTCCTGCCCTTGTACTTCCCTGCCCTATCCATACCCCTCTGCATGTCCTTGTGTGTTGTGCGTGTATGCATGCATGCAGACATACTGAACGTGAATGACCCTCTACCTTGACTCAAATGCCATGTCTCGTTGCTCCTCCCTGTCACCTCTGCATACACACATGCGTGCATTATGCAATGCATGCAGACATACTGAACGTGAATGACCTTCTGCGAGTGCCTCTCCACGAGGCTGGGGATGACATTCAAATGGTGCCCTCGCTCGCCCCCATCTGGGAGGTAGGCTTTTTTGTCGGGAGCTATGCTATCGCCTGTTGTGTTGTCCAGCCCCTGTATGCAAGAATGTATGCACGCGTGCCCATGCCTGCGAGTGCCTCTCCAAGAGGCTGGGGATGACATTCAGATGGTGCCCTCGCTCGCCCCCATCTGGGAGGTATGCTCTCACCTCATGTGGGGAAAACAAACGACCTTCTACCCTTCCTCTGCCTTTCTGCAAGCATGCAAGCATGCATGCATGTATGCATGCCTGCCTGCAAGCCCGTGCATGGAGTGCCTCTCCATGAGGCTGGGGATGACATTCAGATGGTGCCCTCTCTCGCTCCCATATGGGAGGTAGGCTTTTTTGTCGGGAGCTATGCTATCGCCTGTTGTGTTGTCCAGCCCCTGTATGCAAGAATGTATGCACGCGTGCCCATGCCTGCGAGTGCCTCTCCATGAGGCTGGGGATGACATTCATATGGTGCCCTCTCTCGCTCCCATCTGGGAGGTATGTTGCTTATCGGGAAAGTGTGAGTGAGGCAGCAGGTCAAAGCTGTGTTGCTTCATTTCCACTCTCGTTTGCTCCTGCTGGGAGGTGTGCCCCAATTTGGTAACCTTTTTTTCCAATTTGGTGGTATGAATGAGATTCCCAGATGCCATCGGTTCTTGCCACAGCTTAGTGACTAATGGGGAAAGGAGGGAACATGTCGTTGTGGAATCAGCAATTACGTGTCTTGTCCTACTACTTTAGATTTCTGCAAGAGACTACTTCTTGTTTTCTTGCAGGATGAGCGGCGGCGGACAGCAGCTGAAGCAGGAGACGAAGCAAAGGGCAGTAGATCCAGCGGCAGGAAGGGGAAGGGAGGGAAGAGCAGTGTGGAGACTCCTGGGCGTTCTCCAGGAATTATAGGAAAGCCAGGAGCCGAAACAAGGGCAGAAACAGCAGCAGAAGCAACAGGAGAAGCAGCAGGAGAAGCTGCAGCAACGCCCCCTGCTGCCGCCACTCCTGCCACGCAAAGAACAGAGCCTCCTCTTAGCGGCCTGGACAAGGCTCTCAGGAGAGTGGTGTACGAGTTGGCTGAGGAGGAAGAGGCCGTGCTGCGCGAGAGGGAGGAGCGGAGGTGCAGGGCAATGGGAATGGGAGGGGGAGTGCGAATGGGGAGGGGGATGGGAAGGACGAGGGCAATGGGATTGGGAAGGGAAAGGAGAGACGAGAGTTATCAACAGGGAGATGACGAGTGGGTGGAAGGGCAGCGAGACACTCGTCGTTTGTTTTCCTCACAGCAGGAGGGAGAGGAGGGAAAAGGAGAGGAGAGGGGAGGGGCGGGATGTGAGGTAAGGGAAGGAGCACTGGAAGAGGCAGGAAGAGAGGGGAGGGATGAGAGACGAAATGAGGGGAGAGAAACGATTGGCGGAGCAGCAGTGGATGAAGTGGAGGAGGGTCGGCGGCGTAAATCACCTGAGAAAAAGGGAATATTATCTCCTAGAGAGAAGAATGTCCCCTTGATCCAGTCACCTGTGGTCTCGAAAACCGCTTTACGGTCACCACTTGTTGTTGCCGAGAGCCCTCTATTATCGTGCTCCCAGCCTGCCAACTTGCTCTCCCCAGCACAGGTAGCAGCTTCTGGAGAGCACAGACAGCCGGCCGTTGCTGCTGAGAGCCCTCTTCTGTCGTGCTCCCAGCCAGCCAACGTGCTCTCTCCAGCACCAACAGCAGCACCACCAGCAGCACAAACAGTGGCTGGAACCATGGGCGTGACCGCAGGAGCAAGGGTTGCTCGTGATGGATCGGATGGTGGGGAAAGATGGGTTGAGAGCGGTGGTGGGATGGAGAGTGCGAGGAAGCGGAGGAGAAGGGTGTTGTTCCAAGGTGCTGCTAAGGCGAGGGAGGGAGGAGAAGAGGAGGGAGGAGCAGAGGAGGGGATGGCATGCTGCTGAAGGGAGGATTGCCGCTGGTGGTGCAAATGGCGGTGGTTTTGAGATAAGCAATGGTGGTAGTAATGCCGTGTCGCTGCTGGTGGATAAACAAGTGGTTGTCACACAGCTGTCGCAGCAGCAGATGCAGCAGGTAATCCCCTTCTTTGCTTTTTAAGTCAACTAGAAAGTCACATGGGCGATGGTGATAATGCCATGTTGCCGCTGGTGGATGAACAAGTGGTTGTCAAACAGCTATCGCAGCAGCACATGCAGCAGGTAACATTTTGTTTAACATGTTTTTGAGTTCTTCCATTTTCGAGCTGTAGATGCACCGTCAAATGTTCGCTTCCGTTTGTGCATTCATTTTTTTTTTTTTTTTTTTTTTGGGTCGTTTCGTATCTTCCTCTGCTCCCCCATATCGCATCACTTTAAGTCGACTCAAAAGGCTCCTCGTTCTAATGGCATTATGACACACGACACACTTCCTCTGCTTCCCCATGCCGCATCACCCCCAACCCTCCTGCTCTCGTTCTGCCTCATGACAAAGAGTAGGAAGCCCTGGGCGTCTTGGGTTGGGATGCCCATTTTGAGGCGCCTCACAAATATACCTTCCTCACCAAGACGCCCGCCCCACCCCTCTCCACCCCTCTCCACCCCTCTCCACCCCTCCCCACCCCTCCTCACCCCGCCTCGCCCCCCTTGCTTCAGGAGGACGAGGAGGAAGCTCTGGATCTCTTGAGATGGGTTGCCAATAGCCAGCGTGACAACAGTGAAGGTGACAGTGCGAGCGACGATGAGCAGCTGCTGCTGGGAGCGAATTCAGCAGCAGGGGAGGCAGAAGCACATGCAGACACACAAGCACAAGCACCATTGGTTGGATCACAAGGGTTTGGGATGATAGGATCTCAATTCCCAATGCTGGAATCACAGGGGCACCTGCCCATAGGGTCGCAATCCCCAGTGGTAGGTTCGCAAGGGTGCCTTCAGCGAGAGAGGAGACGGGCAGCAGTGGGTGGGTCACAGGGGTTTGTGATGATGGGGTCTCAATCCCCACTGGTAGGTTCACAAGGGTGTTCCCAGGGGGAGAGGAGGCGGGCGGCATTGGAGCGAGCATGGGAGGTGTATGAAGCGACTGTTGCGGAGGAGTGTGAGGGGATCCTGGCGAGTGTGAGGGCGATGGGGGAGGAGTGGGAGGGAGAGGGAGAGGGAGAGGAGGATGAGGAGGAAGGCGAGGAGGAGGAGGAAGTTGAAGGGGAGGATTTGGGAGAAGGGTGGGAAGAATGGGTGCAGCAGGAGGGGCGAAGAGAGGAGGTTGGAGCGAGGGAAGCACAAGAAGGGAAGGGGAGAGAGGATGAACAGGGGCCGATTCCTCAAGTGTCAGGAAGAAGCGGAAACGAGGGTAAGGGCAAGGGGTGTGTGGGAGGAGCATCAAGTGGTGCTGGTGGGGAGGGACCGGAGGGTAATGCAGGAGAGGGGTCCGTGCAAGAGGGGGAGGGTGTGGGAGGGAAGGGGAAAATGGTGGAAAGGGAGAGGTTAGGAGTGCAGGGAAGGAAGGGAGGGGGAGAGGAGGGAGAGGAGGAGGGGTTGGAGTGGATAAACAAGTTTGTGCGCGGCGATCTGATGGCCTGGCAGATGCACCAGACGGATGGCGCTAATGACGATAGTGAGGATGGTAATAACGAGGATGATAATGCTAGTGAGGATAATGGTCGGGACGAGAAGGGAGAGCTGGAGGAGCAGGAAGGGGAGGGAGAGCAGGGAGAGGAGGAGGAGGATGAGATAGTTATGACCCCACCAACCACCCGACTGCACCTGAGATCGCATAGGAGGCGCCACAATCACAAACTGCAAGGCACTTGTCAGCGGAGCTCTGGCAATGGCGTTGCGCCTGGGGGAGGAATGGCTTTAGATGCAGTGTCTGAACCTGCGGGTGGTGTCTCGTCTGGTGGTGGTTCAGGCCCGGAGAGGAGCAAGTGCGACAAGCAGACGCTGCCAGGTGCACGTTTGAAGAGCTCTGGCACTGCCTGTGGGCCTGGGGGTGGAGTGGCTTTGGCGAGTGGTTCTGGCCCAGAGAGGAGGACTAAGTTTGTGTGCAGCCAGAAGGAGTTGAAGAAAGGAGAGGAGCGGGAGGGCGGATGCAGGACTGGTGGTAGAGGCAATGGGAGGGAGGACAGCAGAGAGGTAGTTCGAGGACACAGTTTAGAGGGCACTGAAGGAGGCAGTCCAGAGGAGAACAGACAAGAAATAAGTCGAGGAGGTGAACTAGAGGGCAGTCAAGGGGTAAGTCGAGCAGGCAGCCAAGAGGACAGCAGAGGCAGCAGAGGCAGCAGAGGCAGCAGGGGCAGCAGGGGCAGCAGAGGCAGCAGGGGCAGCAGCAGTGAGGGGTCGGAGGAGTGGCTGCCTGCCAAAGGCCAGGGTATGAGCCAAGGCTTGAGCCAAGGCAAGGGTGAAGGCGCGAGCCAAGGCATGAGCCAAGGCGTGAGCTGTGGGTCGTTCCAAGGGATTTTTGAGCCAGCTGAACGTGCTGCAGCTGCTGCTGCTGCTGTTGCTCCACCTCTTGATGAAGCAGCTGCTGCTGCTTCAGGGCAGGATGCGCTTCATGAGCTGCCTGCAGCACCAGGCATCAGCAACAGGGATGAAGAAATTGGGGCATTTACCGCTCCTGTATCACCTGCAGCGGAGATACCACCTGCAGCAGAGGTAGCAGCTGCAGGTTCAACTGCAGGGTTTCCATTCCAGGGGTTTCCATTCCAGCAATACCTTCAGCCGAAACAGAGCTGGCTCCATGGTCCACGCGTTTACCACCGCCCTCTCTCGCAGCTGACCCTATTCCTGTGATCCACTCCGTTTCTCCAGAGCTATCCGCTGACCTTCCCAGAAGCCTCCCCACAGATCCTCGAGTCGAACCTTCTGTGCCAAGCAGTGCCCCTCAGCCTTTTGAGACGTCTCAAAAGTTTTCTCCAGAGCTCTCTGCTGACCTTTTCAGAGGTCTTTCCACAGAGCCCCAAGTTGAACCTTGCGTGCCAAGCAGTGTCCCTCAGACGCTGGACCCGCCACAGCAGACGGCGCAAACGCCTCCCACCCCTCAGACTCCTCAGACGCCTCAGACTCTTGTAACTCCTCCGACTCCCCCAACTAACCAGGCACCTCACACGCCACTGTCACCTGTTTCTGCTGCTGCCTCCCCCTCGCAGCTTCCTGGCGACTTCCTTCCATCCCGCCACATCCCTCTTGTGCTTACTCAAAGATGTGCATCCCGCTGCTCGTTACAGTCACATCCAACAGAAGAGAGGTTGGCGGATCCGCTAGTGTATCACAGGGCGCCTCCCTCGGTGCAGGAGCTGAGGGACACGTGGCAGGCTCATGGATTGCCACGTGTGCAGTGGCCTGACGTGTACTACGGTGACGTCAGGGACGTGCCAGAGAGGCATCCTGTTTTTGGCGGGAAGGAGTTCAAAAGTGAGTCTTCTTTTAGTACATACATACATGATACATCCCACTCAGTGGCACTTATTTCTTGCCGTCCACACCACCCCTTTATAAGATTGCACCGTTCTATTCTAATGTCTCTTAGGAGGTTATCTGTTGTGTTCTGGATTATCTCAACAGCTCAATCTGGATCTCTCTGCTCTTCTTCCTTCCACTCCCGTCCTTCCTTCTCAATCCATAACCCCACCACCCAACAGTCCTCTCAGCACACGACGCTCACCTCCCTGCCTTCCCCTTCTCCCCCTCCGGCCCTCGCTCCCACTCCACCTTCAACACCGCCCCGCCCTTCCTCACTCTCGCTTCACTCACCCCCTCCACCTCTCTTCCTGGCTTCCTCGACGCACCAGATAATTCAGCACCCATCTGCCCCCTTCGCCACCTCAATGGTAGTAGCAGCAGTACTGCAGCAGTTGCAGCGCCGGTTGCAGTGGCCACTGCAGCAGCTTCGGTGCGTTGGCCCGCCCCTAGGATGGCTCGAGAGGGTGAGCCCGTACCTGGCGTGCCGAGCCGAGTCGACAGGCTCGGCCGGACGTCCTATCAGATTGTGCCAGCTCAGCAGCCGCCCTCTCGGCGGCGGGTAGAGGTTTGGGCTGTAAGAGAAGGGCTGCTGAAGAGAAGGAACGATAAGCGCGTCTTATACTTGCGAAGCAGAGAAGAGGGTCGGATCGGTGCTAGAAGTGAGGAAAGAGATCTGTCAGTTGGAGGTGCTGAGGCTGGTAAAAGTGGTGCTGGTGGTGCCGATGCTGGCAGTGCTGGCGGTGCTGAGGCTGCTGGTGCTGCTTTTAGTGCGCCACTCACCCATGCTGTTGACGGTAGTGCAGCAGCACAGCCCAGTGACGAGCAGCAGGCGGATTACGACCTCGACCCCAACACAGGGCAGTTGCTTGTTGGAGGGGCTGGTGTGATAGGCTTGGACGGGGGACGTAGGGAGGCTCGGAAGGGTTTGGTGGGTGGGAAACCAAGGAAAAGGGAGGTGGGTTGTTGGAGAGGTGGAATCAGGAGGGAAGGGGGCAGGCGGAGTGTGGAGGCGAGGAGAGGAGGTGGAGGGAGGAGTGGGACGGTGGGGGAAGAAGAGGAGGAGGTGGAGGGGGAGTTTGGGTGGGGGACGTGGAGTGATGTGGGAAGGTGGAGGAGAGAGGTTGAGGAGATGGATGAGGGAGAGGAGGAGGAGGAAGAGGAGGATGGAGAGGGAGAAGCGGGAGAGGAGGGGGTGGTCAGTAACGAGGATGGTTGTAACGAGGATAGAGAGGAGGGTAGAGACGATGATGGAGAAGAGGAGGAGGAAGAAGAAGAGGTCTTTGAAAGGCCAGCTTCGCCCAAGTGGAATGAGGGGCACGTGCTTACAACGCAGCTGCTGTCAATCCCCATACAGTCACAATCACGCCTCAGATCCCCCCCCTGGAGCACAAGGTCGAGGCCAAGGACAAGGTCTGAGTCAAAATCGATATCAGAACGGAGGAGGAGGAGAATCCCAGATGAAGCAGCAGCAGGCGAAGAGGAAACTGGGAGACAGGAGGACCCTCTGATCCCAGTCTCATTTGAATCCCAGGGGATTCTGAAGTCGCCCGCTGGTCATTCTCGTTTCCATTCTCCTCAACCTCGGTCCCGAGTCACCTTCAGCGCCATGCCGCCTCCTCGCATCCCCCCTTCTCTCCTTCGCATGTCCACAGCCACTGGGCCCGCTGCCAGTCCCACCACCACCACCCCTGCTGCTGCGGCTGCTGCTGCTGCTGCTGCTGCCGCTGCCACCACTGCTTCTGCTGCTACTGCTACTGCTTCTGCGCCTGTTGTTTCTGGAGAGCCACCAATAGGAAGTCCTTCTCTCCCTATTAAAGAGTCCCCGCCCACTCCTCCTCCTGCTACCATCCCTCTGAACCCCTCTCACCCTTCACCCACTCTCCTCCAATCACCCGCTCGCATCCAATCGCCCCCCCACACACAGAGTTTCCGACATCCTCTTTCTCCCTTCACCTTGCCCCCTTCCCCTTCCTCTGCTTCTCCTGTTTCTCCAGAATCGTATCATATCCAATCTAGCAGGTTCCCAGGTGGATATTCAGGTGTTTCTAGGCCGTTTGGTGAACCTGGTTCTGGGGTGAGGAAGGGGCATGCCCTCGGCCAATCAGGGGCTGCCAGGTGGCGAGATTTCTCCCAGCTCACCCCAGCAACTCAAGCTGCCACACCAGTCAGCCAATCAGGATTCAGGGAGAGTAAGAGTGGAAAGAAGGGGAGTGGAAAGGGGAGTGTAGAGAAGGGGAGTGGAGCGAAAGTGAGAAGAGAGGAAACGAGTGAAGGGGGAGGTGAGAGAAGTGGAGAGAATGCAGAGGGAGGGGCGGAAAAAAGGGGAACAAGGGAAGTTGGAGGAGAGAAGAGGAGGGCTGAGAAGCAACAGGGGGAAGTGATGCCAGGGAAAGTGAACGAGGAGGAGGAGGTGGGTGGAGCAAAAAGCGAAGTTATGAAGGATTATGCAACAGATACTGGAAGACAAGCAGGCGTGAGAAAGAAAAGAACCTGTTCCTCCTCCCCTTCCTCCTCGTCCTCCTCCTCCTGCTGCGAGCATATGGTGAGCATGAGTGCGGAGGTGCTAGCATGCACCAGAGGGGACTTGCTTCCTGACCCTGCTCTTGACGCTCTGTGCTGTGTCGTGCTGGCCACACAGGGGGAGGGGGATGGGGAAGGGGATGGGGATGGCGAGGGGGAGGGGGATGGGAAGGAGGAAAGGGAAGCGGACAGGGAGGCGGAGGGGGAAGGGGAGGAGGTTGAGGCAGGGCATGTTGAGGAGGGGGGAGAGAGTGGTAGAGGGGAGTGGAAAGGCGGGAGAGGGGAGGCAGCAGAGCGTGGTAACGGGAGAGGGAGGAGGCGAATCAAGTTGAGGCGAGTTGGAGGGAAGGCGCAGGTGGATGTGCTGATACTGGAAGAGGCTCATTCAGGTCCCACCCGCAGGTACTGTTCGTTCCTGCTCTCTTTGTTCTGTAACTTTGTTACTGAAGCTCCTAGTAACGCCGGGTGCGACTCAGGGGTGGGGTCCTCCTGGGGGTGGCTGGCCTGAGTCCAGACAACTAACTCCAGAAACCCCTGAGGCTGCAAACTTCAGGCTTTAGGTTTTAGGTATAGTGTGGCTGGCAGGGAGGGTGTCAAGGCTGCTGAGGGTGCAGCACGTTATTTTGAGGGCTCTGCCTGCGGCTTTTGTTTCCATTTCCTCTTCTGTTTCACCCCTGCAAGACAATTTCTGGGTGGCACGTGCAGGGGGGCTGGGGGAGCTTCTTTTTTTCAACCCTTGTTCTCTATCTGTACTCCTTTTGAATGGACTCAAAAGTCATTTTCTGCATCATCTTCTCCGTCTGTTCTCCATTTCTCCACCTCAGGAACCCTGACGCCCTCTCGTCCTGCCGCGTCCACCTGCTGCCATCAGAGGTTTCCCTTCTGGAGCGACTAGTGACAGTGGTGAGGGTGTGTGACCCGGACATACTGCTGGGGTGGGAGGTGCAGGGGGGCTCCTGGGGGTGGCTGGCAGAGAGGGCGCAGCACCTGTGCTTTAACCTCCTCAAATCGCTCTCCAGAGTGCCGCCTGTGCACGATGTGAGGGTATCGCAGGCAAGGGCGCCGTTCAAGTGTGACACACTTGAAGCACGTCTCTCCAGTCCTCCACTCCCAACTCGCCCTGATTCCACCGGACATCAGCAGTTCCAGTCGCACCCGCCACAGTCGCACCCAGCCCAGTCAGAACAGCCACTCCCGCACGCAGCAATCACATCCGTGCCGCCCTTGGATTCCCAGCACATCCCCATGTTCCCCTCCCAGTCCCAGATGCACCTCTCCCCATCTCTCCCTCCTATAGGCCCGTCTCAATCGCCCCTTTCACCTCCGCTTGCCACTGCTCCTCGTGATGCTACTCCACCTGACGCCACCACTCCTGACGGCACTCCACCTGACGCAACCACTCCTGATGCCACTCCACCTGACGCAACCACTCCTGATGCCACTCCACCTGACGCCACTCCACCTGCCACCACTCTTGAAGCTGCTCCACCTGACGCCACCACTCCTTACACCACCTCAAACATCTCACAGCCAGAGCAGCAGCAGCAGCAGCAGCAGCAGCAGCCAGTTGGCCCATCCCCCATCCTCTCGTTTCCACTCTCCCCCTCCCAGTCCGTCCCCGTGCCACAAGACATGAGCGCATGGCACCATGGGTTCGGAGGATTCGCCCTCCCCCCTGCACATGCAGCAGCTGATGTGCCTGCGGAGGCATGTGTACGGATGAATTCAACCACATATGGTGCACAGGTGCAGGCACAAACGCGTATGCATGTGCACGCACATCCACAGGGGGGTAGAGGGAGGAAAGCTTGTGCTGGTCTTGCCTTGCTGGCAGATGACCCTTCCACGTGGCCTCTCCTCATCCCTGCCACGTCAGCTGGGGGAGCAGCAGGAGGGGCAGGAGGACGATGGGGAGCAGGGGGGAGAGAGGGAGGGGGGGGATCAGGAGGGGGAGGGGGAGGAGGGGGAGCGGGGAAAGGGGATGAGAGGCTGAATAGAGGTGATGGACGGATGGTGGGAGGAAAGGGGCCTCTGGGACGGCCAGGGGAGGGAGGAGAACGAGGAGGGGGAACAGGAGGAGGAGGAGGAGTAGGGGGAGAAGGAGCGACAGGCGACGGGGAGAGGGAGAGGTGGATGAGAAGGAGAGGGGGAGGCCGGGGGCGAGGGGACGACGACGCAATAGTAACAGACGAGTGGGGGAAAACGCATGGCAGTGGCTTGCAGGTGGGCGGGCGCATCATGATAAACCTGTGGCGGGTGATGCGGGCTGAGGTGAAGCTGCCTGTTTACTCGTTCCATGCGGTGGTGCTTGCTGTGCTGAGGCGACACGTGGCGAAGTATGACTGGTGCACGCTGACTGGGTGGTGGAAGGCTGGAGGGGAAAGGGGAGGGGGAGGTGGAGGAGGGGGAGCATCAGCAGCAGTGGGTGCAGCAGAAGGAGAAGGAAGGGGAGGGGGAGCAGCAGCAGCAGCGGCGACAGCGGCAGTGGGGAGAGTGCAGCGGTGGAGGTGCATCGAGCATTTTGTGGCGAGAGCTCAGCTGAATCTTGACATGATGCGACACCTGGATGTTGTGAGTGCTGCCAAATCTAGCCTTTCAAGTGGGTGTTGTGATGTGAGTGCTGCCACGTGAACGTGTTTAGTGGTCTCCATCCTATAACCATCCTCTTTCCATCCTCTCCCTATCCTTTTTCCCCCTTTGCCCCTCCACAACTGCAATCGTTATAAGGTGAACCGCACAGCTGAGCTAGCGCGGGTGTTTGGGATTGACTTCTTCTCGGTGTTGTCACGGGGCTCCCAGTACCGAGTGGAATCCATGATGCTGCGACTGGCGCACTCCCAGAACTACCTGTGCATCTCACCCTCACGCATGCAGGTATGCGTTGTGGTAACCATGTTATTTCACACATAAATGCGCCTGCGTGCATCCCCCTAGTGATGGAGCCAGAGTGTCGCTACTACACCAGCCCAGTGGTCGGGTTTCACTCTATCCCCCTGCCTACTCTTCCCTCTCCCCCTCCCTCTCAGGTATCCTCCCAGCCAGCACCTGCATGCATCCCGCTGGTGATGGAGCCAGAGTGTCGCTACTACACCAGCCCCGTGGCCACCTTTGACACTCTCTATCCCCCTGCGCCCTCCTCCCTCCTCTCCCCTCCCTAGTGCAGGTATCCTCCCAGCCCGCCCCTGCATGCATACCCCTCGTCATGGAGCCAGAGTGTCGCTACTACACCAGCCCTGTCGTCGTCCTTGACTTCCAGTCGCTCTACCCCTCCATGCTCATCGCCCACAACCTCTGCTTCTCCTCCTGCCTCGGCCGCATCCCGCCCCCCTCCTCTCCTGCTGCTGCTGCTGATGATGATGATGGTGGGGGTGGTGGTGGTGCTGCTCCTGTTGCTCCTACTGATGGTGCACCTGCTTCTGGTGCTGGTGTTTCGATTGTTGCCACGGCTGCTGCTGCTGCTGCTGCTGCTGCTGCTGCAGCTGCTGCCTCTGCCACTGCAGCAGCAGCGGCTCAGAAAGCGTCCCCTGGAGGCAACCGTTTTCAGGGTGGTGAGGGTGAGAAGCAATGGTGGGGCGAGGAGGAGAGGCCGCTGGGTGTGACGACCTATCGCGTGCCGCCAGGTGTCGTGTCGTCATTGAAGGACGACCTGCTGCTGCTGCCCAACGCAGTGATGTATGTGCCGCCCAAGGTGAGTGAAGTGAAGACTATGCCTTGCTGTTTCTGCTACCCAAGGGTGAGAGGCAGTGATGGGGGGAGCGTGTCGTCATTGAAGGACGACCTGCTGCTGCTGCCCAACGCAGTGATGTATGTGCCGCCCAAGGTGAGTCGTGCTGGCGGCTGAAATAGACCTATGCCATGCCATGCTGTCCTGTGTGCCATGCTGTTCTCTGTGATATGATGCTGAACGCACTGCTGGCAAAGCAGTCGCCGCTTTTCCCCCGTGTGTACTCTCCCCGCTTTCCAGGTCCCATGCGTGCTGCCGAGGCTTCTAAAGGAGATCCTAGCAACGCGAGTGATGGTGACGAAGGCAATGAAGAAGCTCCCACAAGGGAAGCAGATCCGAGTGCTGCACCGTGTGTTGAACCATTTTCTCTGTTTACACTCTCCCTGCTTCCCAGATGCGTCCAGGCATGTTACCACGGGTACTGAAGGAGATCCTGGCAACCTGAGTGATGGTGGAGAGGTTCATGAAACGACTGCTCCCAGGTGCGACCGGGTGTGCTGCTGCTCCCACCCCGTCGCACCCTTTCCCCATTTACCTCCCGTGATCACTCTCCCCACTTCCCAGGTGCGCCCAGGCGTGCTGCCGCGGCTTTTGAAAGAGATCCTAGCAACCCGAGTAATGGTGAAGAAGGCAATGAAGAAACTCCCACCGGGGAAGCAGAGCCGGGTGCTGCACCGCGTGCTGAACGCACGGCAGTTCGCCCTCAAGCTCATCGCCAACGTTACTTATGGGTACACTGCGGCGTCGTTCTCCGGCCGCATGCCCATGGCTGAGCTGGCAGACAGCATCGTCCAGGTCAGGCTGAGCTGGCAGGCAGGGTTGTCCATGTCAGGCTGAAGTGGCAGACGTCATGGAGCAAGTGCTACACAAAAACTGGGTCGTTGCAATTGCAAGAAGCAGGATTCTGCTTCCCGCATTGTCTCAGTGCTGACTTGTTCTTCGCAACTCTGGATTGATACCTCCAACCCCGCTTTCTCTTGCTTCTCATGTGCAGACGGGGCGAACAGCCCTAGAGAGGTCGATAGCTCTGGTGAACAGCCACCCGTCATGGAATGCACGGGTGGTCTATGGTGACACTGACAGGTGGGTGGCAACAATTACAGGTGGGTGTTTTTTTTTGTCTGACAGGAATACAACACTAAAGAGGGTGGGGATCGCTCTGCTGAACAGCCACCCATCGTGGAACGCACGGGTGGTCTATGGTGACACTGACAGGTGAGTGTTTGCTTCGGGCTCTGGGTCTATCACTCTGCAGTCAAGGCCGTCCTCTCTCCATCCCCAGTGGCGCTCAAGCTTCAGAAGATCTACCACCCATGCGTGTTGCGGGCGAAGAAGCCACACTTGGGGTTCCTGGACGTCCTGCAATGAAGTTTCTCCTCTTCGTGCCCCTCTCCCTCTCCCTCCTTGTTTCCTTGCAGCATGTTTGTTCTGCTGGAAGGTCGCACGCGAGACCAGGCCTTCACAATCGGGAATGAGATCGTGGCAGCGGTAACCGCACTCTCCCCGGCCCCGGTGGCTCTCAAGCTAGAGAAGGTGTACCACCCGTGTGTGCTGCAGACCAAGAAGCGATACGTGGGCCTCGCGTACGAATCCCCTGCTGCCACGTGTCCCCCTGTGTTTGACGCCAAGGGGATTGAGACGGTCAGGCGGGACGGGTGTCCTGCTGTGAGCAAGCTGCTGGAGAAATCTCTCCAGATTCTCTTTTCTACTAACGACCTATCCAGAGTGAGTCTGATATGGAAAGGTGAGTGTTTGACGCCAAGGGGATCGAGACGGTCAGGCGGGACGTGTGCCCTGCTGTGAGCAAGCTACTGGAAAGGTCTCTGAAGATTTTATTCTCCACCAACGATCTATCTAGGGTGAGTTTGAAATGGAAAGGTGGAAAGGAGTGTGTTTGAAGCCAAGGGGATCGAGACGGTCCAGCGGGACGGGTGCTCTGCTGTGAGCAAGCTGCTGGAGAGGTCTCTGAAGATTCTGTTTTCCACCAACGATTTATCTAGAGTGAGTTTGAATGCCAAGGATATTGAGATGGTCACTGGTCAGGCGGGACGGCTGTCCTGCTGTGAGCAAGCTGCTGGAAAAATCCCTCAAGATTCTGTTCTCCACCAACGATCTATCCCGAGTGAGTCTGAACGCCACGGATATTGAGATGGTCACTGGTCTGGCGGGACGGCTGTGCTGTTGTGAGCAAGCTGCTGGAAAGTCTCTCCAGATATTATTCTCCACCAACGACCTACCTAGAGTGAGTTTGAACGCCAAGGGGATTGAGGGAGGAGGGAGAGAAGGAGGGAGAGGCATTTAGCTACGTGCAATGCAAGCTAAATGAGAATGTGTTGGCAAGGTTTCACTTTTATACACCGAAAATCAACCTACAGGTGAACTCAGCCCCTTTGCCCTCCTCTTCTTTCTTCCCTCACCACTCCCTTTCCCCCCTCTATCCCAGGTGCGATCCTACCTGGTGAGGCAGTGGCAGCGCATGCTGCAGGGACGAATATCCCTTCAAGACTTCATCTTTGCTCAGGAGGTGCGTGCGACTTGGTACCTACAGCACCAACCCCCGCGCGCTCCTCCCCATTCTTTTTTCTCCCACACTTCTTCCTCCTACTCCTCCTTCTCCCTCCTTCCCAGGTGCGATCCTACCTGGTGAGGCAGTGGCAGCGCATGCTGCAGGGACGAATATCCCTTCAAGACTTCATTTTCGCACAAGAAGTCCGCCTAGGCACCTACAGCACCAACCCCCGAGCGATGCTCCCCCCTGCCGCCATCGTGGCCACCAAAGCCATGCAGCGAGACCCCCGCGCCGAGCCCAAATACAAAGAGAGGGTTCAGTATGTGATAGTGTGCGGTGATCCTGGGTCTAGACTGGTTGATTTGGTGGTGGAGCCTCGGGTGGTGGTAGATTCGCGGTGTCTCCGGCTGAATGTGGGGTATTATATCACGAGGAAGGTGATTCCCGCGCTGCATCGGGTGTTTGCGCTGGTGGGGACACGTGTCGCATCGTGGTTTGCTGAGCTGCCGCTGTCGCAGCGGGCCGGTCCGGGAAAGCAGCCGCTGCTGACGTGGCAGGAGGGGGAGGGGGTGGGGACCAGGGGGGGTGGTTTGCAGGGGCTGGGGCAGGGGAGTGGGGGTGTAAGGGGGAGGGGAAGGGGGAGAGGGAGGGGGAGAGGGAGAGGAAGGGACAGGGGGCAAGGTAGGATTGACCAATATTATGGGAGCGTGCACTGTGTGGTTTGTGGGCGGGTGGTGGTGAGAGAGGCAAGGGGAGAGAGAGTGATGGCAGGTAGCGTTAACAGAGGGGGAGGGGGAGGGGGAAGGATAGGGGGAGGTGGAGCAAGTGGAAGCGGAGGAGTGAGAGTAAGCGGGGGAGAATTGGTGGAATCGGGGGAAGAGGGAGGGGGCGAGCAGCAAGGCACGATGGGGCAGGACGGGGTGGAAGCAGTTGGGCTGGGTGTGCCTGGAGTAGAGGAGGTAAGCACCAAGGCGGGGGATGCAAATGGGTTCTGTGCGGTGCCAATCTGCAACTCATGTAGAGGCATTGGAGCTGATCCCGGTGATGTGTATGGTGCTTCTGCTGCTGCTGCTGCTGCTGCTGCTGCTGCTGCTGCTGCTGCTGCTGCTGGGGGCATGTGTGCTGCTACTGTGGGTCAAGAAAGTCAAGCAGGTCAAGCAGAGGAGCTAGGTCAGGTACCAGCGCTGGTGCTGACGATGAGAGCTGCCCTTCTGGAGAAAGATTTTCGCCACCTGTCAGCGGTGAGCGTGTTTGTTTGTTTGCTTGTCTTTTCTTTCTTTTTCTTCTTTCCAATGCAACTTCTCTTCATTGCTCTCTCTCTCCTCTCCCATTTTGCTACCTTCAATTCTTCCTTGCTGAAGGTAATTCCCTATGTACCTCGTAATGTTTGACTATCAACCCTTCATAATTTTGAATTATGATTTGTTGTCTGCTGCGATTCCCTGGGCAGATCTGCTTCGACTGTGGTGCATTTCCTGCTGTCTCCGAAACAAGCCAAGGTGGAGGCAATTCGTCCAACTGTCCATCTTCTTTGGCTCAGGGGCTGGATAGTTTGGAAGTTGCTTGTGTGTCTCTTGATTGCCCCGTGTTCTTTGAAAGGAGAAAGGTTCAGAGGGAGCTTAGAGCAGCAGTATATTTGCCAGCACGTCTTGGTTTGTATCCGGAGTTGTTTTGAGCATTCCGTACATTTAAATTTGATGCTGATGTGAAGTCGGATTTTTCCTTTTTGCTATGCACGATCACCTTTTAGCGAAGTGAATTAGATTCAGGTGACGGGTCAACTTATAGCGAGGTTGTAATCTTTCAAACCGGCTCCGTTACTTTACCGCCACCCATCATATCAGTTTCTAGAGAATACCGTATCAATCTAGCAGCCGATCAGAAGCAACTGACAGATTCAGTCCGCGGCTCGACCTGCGACTTCGACACTCAGAAAGTTCGTAGTTTTCAAAGCTTAGCGGGTGTCATAGTGTATTATAAAGCTCCGTAAAGTGTAATCGTAGCCACCTGACGCATCGCGTTATCGCGGACAGCAATCATGCGTGCTTTCCGCGTTGATGAGAAGATATCAAGGACGCAATGACAGAAACGTCGCGATCGTTCGGCCAGATGATGGCCACGCCAACCAAGGGAAATCTTAAGCGTTCATCCGCTCCGCCAGTCACGCTAGGACGATGCGGATTATCGAAGCACGCACTAACGAGTCGTCTGCATCGCCAAATCGCCGTCTGGTGGCCGCTAGTCCTCGCGACCGTTACAACAGCTGGTTACAGCTCCATTTTCGCAACGGCCGCTAGTCCTGGGCGTAAGTGTTTCCTTCAGTGTCGCCGTCATCGAAGCTGTCTAATGCGTAACGTCGCTACAAATTAGGTCGTGTATAGGGCCCCCACACTAGGTCGTACTGACCTCCTACCTCTCAGTATGGGAGTTAGTGTCATCGAAAGCCAGCAAAGCCGCCCCCGCTCCTATCCCTTCCCGCTCCCCCGTTTTCCCCTGTCCTTGCTTTATTGCTTCCCACATACTTCCAGCTCCTTTCACTGAAGCGCGTGCTAGCAGAATCATTCCCGGGTACCCTCTCCGCTTACAGTTATTCTTCATCCCCCTCCCACCCGCATTTCCCCTCTCTCGCTCTCGCCTTTTCCCCCTGTTCCCCGTAATTCCAGTGTGGGAGCTAGTGTCACTGAAGCGCGTGCTAGCAGAGTCATCTCCAGGAGCCCTCTCTGCTTACAGCGACACCGGGGATCCGTGCAGTGGGGCGTGGGGGGACAGGGTCGCATGCAACGAGGCGGGCCAAATCATCGCATTGTGAGTATGGGATATCTCGAGTGCTATCTCCGCTTACAGTGACTCGGGGAATTCTGTGCAGTGGGGCGTGGGGCGATAGAGTCACGTGCAACGAAGCTGGCCAGATCGTCACACTGTGAGTACGGTGTACGGGATATCTCTCATTCCCTTTCCAATAATATCGCCCGGCTCGGACACTCTGCCTCCACAATGCCTCCACAAGAGTCGACTCGCAATGCATCCACACTCCACCCTCCCTCCACCCCCTCCCCTCACCCGTCTCCCAGCTCCCTTCCCCCCTTCCCCCCGCTCCCCTCTCCCCCAACCACAGGAACTTCACAGCGGAGGGGCTTACAGGGGCCCTCCCAGGCAAGGATCTGTCGAGATTCCGCACTCTACAAAGCTTGTGAGTGTGGTGTAGAGCGGTTCAGAACGGTAGAGAGTTGTGAAAAGTAGTTTATCTTTTAGGGGACTTAAGGGGACCCTTTCAGGCAAGGAGCTAGGAAAGTCTGGATGTGAGTGGTCCAAAGTGGTGTAGTGCGATGAGGAATTGGCAATGGCATGTTTGCATTTGAACAAGTGTCTGTGCCTTAATGTTTACAATACATGCGATTTTGTCACTCCTATACATCCTTTTTCCACTGCAGTGATTTTGGGCAGAACAGTTTCACGGGTAAAATACCCCCGGAAATGGCATCACTAACCTCCCTAACTTATCTGTACGTTTTTTCTTACACCCAACTTGTCACGCACGCCTGCAGCCCAGCCATTGTCCCACTGATCGCTTCTCCCCACCTCTCTGCATAGTCTCTAAATCGCCTGTTTCAGACTGTATTGCCGACATTAAAAAGCCCCCCCAACACTAACGAGGTGACTTTTGAGTCGACTCAAAGTCACCTTTTTCAGACTGTATTGCCGACATTAACAAGCCCCCCCAACACCCCCCCACTCCCCCCTTCGCTCCCTGACTCTCTTTGCAGGTCTCTGGCGTTTAACAATCTCACAGGCAAAGTCCCCTCATGGCTGCTTGGCTTTTCATCGAAGTTTGCTCCCCACCCCCTCCCCCTCTTCCCCCCACCTCCCCTCACGTCTTTGCAGGTCTCTGGCATTTAACAATCTCACAGGCAAAGTCCCCTCATGGCTCGGTCTCTCCTTTCTCAACCTCGTCGAGCTGTAAGGAGTGCAGTGCGGTGCAGAGCGGTGTAATGCAGTGTAGTGTAGTGCATTCATAATTCCTTCGCTCTTTCTCTCCTTTGTTCCCCAGCAGCCGGTTCTGTTGCAACCTCTCAAGTCCTCTCATCTCTTAATGTGAAATCAATGTTTCTATTAGTGGCCTGTGAAATCAGCTGCTATTGCCCCAATGGCTCACGAATATCCTTGTGTCATTCTCTTGACCAGCATTGCCACCGGCTGGTCGATAGATGAGTATCTGTGTCTACTACCAGCATTCTGGAGACATTCACAGCTATTTATTTATGCCGTCTCTTTCTAATCGCCCTCCGTATGCCTGCATTTGTACTCTCCCCATTCTGTTACTCCTGCTGCTGTGCGGCGCTGTAAAAATCATCTCAATTCCGCGTGCATTTCCATCAGCATGCATTAAACCGCTCCCCACGTCTCCTGCTGCTGCGCCTGGCCTCTGTTGCAGGCACCTGAGCGACAACCACCTGGAGAAACCTCTACCTGAGAGCATAGGTGGCCTTCAGGTGTTGCGAACAATGTGAGAGGGAGGGGCGTGACACATCCTTCAGATCAGATCATGTGCATGTGTGGGTACATGAAGTGATAAACTGACTGACTGATAGTCTTGCCATGGACAGCATCTGATTTTAGGTTTTTTTTTTTTTTTTTTTTTTTAGAACTCTCAAAAGTGTCTCAGAAGCAACTCAGACGGACCACTTTGGGAAGCATTCTGACTTCATTTGCGTGGCATCGACGGTGTATTTTGAGGCGCCTCAAAATACACCTCAGACGGACCACTATGGGAAGCATTCTGACTTGATTTGCATGGCATCGATCGACGGCATCTTATCCATGATTCATGTGTGGCGCTCATTTCATGTGCCACCATGCATGCATGTGCCCCCATGCGTTCATCATGTGCCCGTGCCATGCATTCACTCATGTATGTGCTACCATGCATGCATGTGCCCCCATGCGTTCATCATGTGCCCGTGCCATGCATTCACTCATGTATGTGCTACCATGCATGCATGTGCCCCCATGCGTTCATCATGTGCCCGTGCCATGCATTCACTCATGTATGTGCTACCATGCATGCATGTGCCCCCATGCGTTCATCATGTGCCCGTGCCATGCATTCACTCATGTATGTGCTACCATGCATGCATGTGCCCCCATGCGTTCATCATGTGCCCGTGCCATGCATTCACTCATGTATGTGCTACCATGCATGCATGTGCCCCCATGCGTTCATCATGTGCCCCCATGCATTCACTCATGTATGTGCTACCATGCATGCATGCCATCCGCTTTTACTACTACAGGGACTTGAGTCGGAACAGACTGATAGGTAGCATCCCGCAGAGCATTCACGGATGCAACGCCGCCACACGCCTGTGAGTGAACCTCATTCATGGGTGTGGTGTGGGGATGGGTGCAATGAGGTGAGTGAAAACTTGTGCATGAATGACGATCGAGCATCAGGGAATAAGTCGTTTGGGTGCATGGTTGGCTGGGTGTGGTGTTGATGTGGCTTGAGGAATCATCAGCATGAAGCATCCATGCAATTATTGTTATTGTTACTCTTATTATTATTATTATTATTATTATTGTTGTTATTATATTACTAACGTGATTCTCAATAATGCCTCCAGACTTCAAATCCATACCATTGCCCACTCAGGAAATTCACGTACTCCCCTTTCCTGTGTGCTATACAATCACAGGAGTCTTGCCTTCAACTCTCTCACTGGTACCATCCCAGCGTCTATCGGATCAATGAGGAGCCTCCAGGCGCTGTGAGTGAGCATGCACCCACTTACTCCTGTGCTGCTGCCTCCCCGCCTCCAGTGACCTCCAGAGCAACCAACCGCGTGTCTTCTCATGCTGTCAATCCAACGCATTCCTGCTTCCCCGTTGCTGCCCTCTCACCTGTCGTGACCTCCAGTCGAACCAACTGTTGGGACCCATACCTCAAGAGATCGGGCAGGCCAGCAACCAACTTAAGTGTCTTATCATGCTGCTGCTCCAATTCTCCCTTACTTCTCGTGATGCTGCTCCCCTTCCCTACCTGCAGTGACCTCCAGAGCAACCAACTGTCGGGATCCATACCTCAAGAGATCTTGCAGGCCAACAAACAAACCAACTGTTTTATGAGGCTGTTGATCTAACACACTCCTGCTTCCCATGCTGCTGCTTCCCTACCTGCAGTGACCTCCAGAGCAACCAACTGTCGGGATCCATACCTCAAGAGATCTTGCAGGCCAACAAACAAACCAACTGTTTTATGAGGCTGTTGATCTAACACACTCCTGCTTCCCATGCTGCTGCTTCCCTACCTGCAGTGACCTCCAGAGCAACCAACTGTCGGGATCCATAACTCAAGAGATCTTGCAGGCCAACAAACAAACCAATTGTTTTATGAGGCTGTTGATCTAACACACTCCTGCTTCCCATGCTGCTGCTTCCCTACCTGCAGTGACCTCCAGAGCAACCAACTGTCGGGATCCATACCTCAAGAGATCTTGCAGGCCAACAAACAAACCAACTGTTTTATGAGGCTGTTGATCTAACACACTCCTGCTTCCCATGCTGCTGCTTCCCTACCTGCAGTGACCTCCAGAGCAACCAACTGTCGGGATCCATAACTCAAGAGATCTTGCAGGCCAACAAACAAACCAATTGTTTTATGAGGCTGTTGATCTAACACACTCCTGCTTCCCATGCTGCTGCTTCCCTACCTGCAGTGACCTCCAGAGCAACCAACTGTCGGGATCCATACCTCAAGAGATCTTGCAGGCCAACAAACAAACCAACTGTTTTATGAGGCTGTTGATCTAACACACTCCTGCTTCCCATGCTGCTGCTTCCCTACCTGCAGTGACCTCCAGAGCAACCAACTGTCGGGATCCATAACTCAAGAGATCTTGCAGGCCAACAAACAAACCAATTGTTTTATGAGGCTGTTGATCTAACACACTCCTGCTTCCCATGCTGCTGCTTCCCTACCTGCAGTGACCTCCAGAGCAACCAACTGTCGGGATCCATACCTCAAGAGATCGGGCAGACCACCACACTCACTCTCTTGTAATGTCCCTTTCCCTCACATTCTTGAGTTTTCCCCCTTTTTCTCGCTGCTTAATTGTTCGGGTTGCTTCATTTCTTACTGCCTGATTTCTGGACAGACGGCCTGATTAGGAACGTCATGTGGACATCTTGAACACCTCAGCTCAAAATAGTTTCTGCTAAATAACCTGTCTGCCTGTCTCCAGATCTCTGGACAACAATCTCTTTTCTGGGCCTATCACACCTTCTCTCGGCAAGTTGCCTCTTCTTCGTAACTTGTGAGTCTCTCAGCTCAACTCATTCCACCGCACACCATCTGCTTGTTCCGCTTACTTATTTTATGCAACCTTTCACCTTTATTATATCTATTATCATTTTTTTTTCTATCTGCCCCACTTCTCCTGGGCAGGACTCTCTCCAACAACCGGCTAGATGGCCCCATCCCAGAGTCCCTTCAATACCTGCCCCTCCTCGCTCACCTGTACGCACTCCCATCTTTACTCTCTCTTGTACACAGAATCAGATCTAATACGTCTCAGTCCAAAGTCCACTCACCCTACCAGTAATGCGAGTCATACAGTATGACTCATACCACGGGGATCAGCGAATCCTTCTGGCCGTATTCCAATAAAATCACGAAATTACGCTTGAGCGTACTTTTGTTCTCATCTCAAATCATCCCGGTCAGCACCATCTCTTCCCCACCCACTTACTCCACCCAACCACTGACTTTTGAGTCGACTCAAAAGTCACCTCCTTACTCCACCCAACCAGTGACGCAGGCCATAACACGGGCATCAATGGGTCCCTACCAGGATCGCTGGCTGTTCCCGCTCTCACATTCCTCCCTGTCGCCACCCTCCCTTCCCCCGCCCACTCCATCCACCCTATCGGCCCTACCCTACCACTACCAGTGACGCGAGCCATAACACGGGCATCAACGGGTCCCTACCAGGATCCCTGGCTGTCTTGACCACACTTCAGACACTGTACGTTCCCTCTCTCTCTCTTGTTGCATGCTCCCTCTCTGTCTGCGTGTAAACTGCCTTCTGCATGCTCACATATGATTTTGCTCGTCTTCCTTCCATCTCACTCCACTCCCCCGCACCATTGTTCTCCCATCAGGTCGCTCCAGTACTGCTCCCTCTCTGGCTCCCTCCCCCCCTCACCCTCCTCCCCTTGCAGTGAGACGTTTTTTCAAGCGTCTAAAAAATCGTCCATCTCTCCCCCATGTCCCCCTTTTCCTCCCCCCATCAGGTCCCTTCAGTACTGCTCCCTCTCCGGATCCCTCCCCCCTTCTCTCACCCTCCTCCCCCTCCTCTCCTCCCTCCACCTCTCCCACAACCTCCTCTCGGGCCCTCTCCCTCCCCTCCTCTCCTCCCTCTCAGCCCTCACCACCCTCCACCTCTCACACAACCTCTTCTCGGGTGTAATCCCTGACCCAATCTGTGACATGCGCATGGTTGCTGACCTGGATCTATCGGCCAATCAGCTGCAAGGGACCATTCCTCCCTGTCTCGTCGAAATGCCCACTCTCCGGATTCTGTAAGTGCAGTGTGCCGCCGAGCCTCGTGCGCCGAACCTGGTGCCATGCTCCGGATTCTGTAAGTCCAGTCCAACAATTGTTGAGTTGAGAGTCCCCACTGACGAGTCCTGTCCCGTGTGCCATCTCAAGAGAGGAGGCTGTAAGTTCCGTCCTTACTTGCATCTCGTCCCATCCCATCACTCTTTTTAGCCATCCCACCCTTACTCCACTTCTCCTCTCCTCTCCTCTCCTCTCCTCTCCTCTCCTCTCCTCTCCTCTCCTCTCCTCTCCTCTCTCCTCTCCTCTCCTCTCCTCTCCTCTCCTCTCCTCTCCTCTCCTCTCCTCTCCTCTCCTCTCCTCTCCTCTCTCCTCTCCTCTCCTCTCCTCTCCTCTCCTCTCCTCTCCTCTCCTCTCCTCTCCTCTCCTCTCCTCTCCTCTCCTCTCCTCTCCTCTCCCCTCCCCAACAGGTCAGTCGCATTCAACAACCTGTCAGGGCCTGTTCCTGAATTACCCGACGGCAGCGAGCTACAGTTCATGTACGTCCTTGGCTACAATTCATGGACACCCCTTTTTTATGGGCTAGAATTCGTGTACACCTCTTCGTCTGATTTATCTGGCTACAGTTCGTACACACCTCCTTCTTCATGGGCTAATCCCCCTTTTTTCTTCCCACAACCATGGTACACTGACTATTTGTCCCCCTCCCTTCCCGCCCACTCACCGCTACAACCACGACTGTGTGGAGTCCAGACTCTGTTTTTTAGTTGACTCAAAAATTGGTGAGTCCAGACTCTGGACAACACGTTTTGAGACGTCTCACTCACCGCTACAACCACAACTGTGTGGAGTCCAGACTCTGGACAACACGTGTGAGCAGACATGCGCGACAGGTCTTTATGCTGCCGCCCAGTCAGTATAAGCAACCCTCTCCCCGCCTTCTCCTCTCCCTCCCACCTCCCAGCTACGGCCACAACTGTCGGGACAACACGCCTCAGCAAGCATGCACTGCAGGCCTCCATGCCACCCCCTGGTTTCTCATCCAGCCAAACAACCCTCTCCTCTCTCCCCCCCCTCTCCTTCCCCCCCCCCCCAGCTACGGCCACAACTGTCTCGACAACACGCCTGAGCAAGCATGCGCTGCAGGCCTCCATGCCACCCCTTCAGCAACAACTGATCACTCCACCAGCCAAGCAACCTTCTCCTCTCTCCCTCTTCCCCCCTACAGATACGACCACAACTGTCTGGACGACGCACCAAAGCAGGCATGCGCTGAGGGCCTCCATGCCACCGAGTCACACTATAGGCAAACCTCTCCTCCTCCTCCTCCCCTCTCTCTTCCCTCCTTCCCCAACCCACCAGCTACGACCACAATTGTCTGGACGACGCGCCTGAGCAGGCATGCACTGCAGGCCTCCATGCCACCCCTTATGTGCCTCCCACGTCTGCTCCCAGCAGCAACAGTAGCACCAGCGACACCAGCAGCAGCACCTGTACGTACGCCATGCATGTAAAAGGCTAAAAGCACATGACCATCATGCTGCCACCCCTATGTGCCTTCTACCTCTGCTCCCAGCAGCAACAGTACCAGCAGCAGCAGCACGTGTACATATGCCATGCATGTAAAAGCACCTGTACCTGTATGTACCTTCATGTTGCCATCCCTTATGTGCCAGTTGCCGGTGTTGTGCTCTTCTCCATCTCTTTGATCCTCCTCCACTCCCCTTTCCTCCCCTCCACCCACCAGCGTCCATCCCACCTTTGGCATACGTGCTCCTAGCGCTGCTCGATGTCACAGTGGCATGTGTTGCCCTCTTTCTCAATCCTCTTCTCCCTCTTTCCAATCCTCCTCTCCTTTTCCTCCTCCCTTTCACCCACCAGCGTCCATCCCACCACTGGCGTACGTGCTCCTAGCGCTGCTCATCGTCACAGTGATATGTGTTGTGCTCTTGTCCCTCTTTCCAATCCTCCTCCCTTCGTTCCTTTCTCCTCCTCCCTTCCACCCACCAGCGTCCATACCACCGTTGGCATACGTCCCCCTAGCGCTGCTCGATGTCACAGTGGCCTGTGCTGTCCTCTTGTGCCTCTCTTCAAACCTCTCCTCCTCTTTCTTCCGTTACACCACTCTCCTCCCTTCCACCCACCAGCGTCCATCCCACCTTTGGCATACGTGCTCCTAGCGCTGCTCATCGTCACGGTGGTCTGTGTCGTGCTCTTCTCCCTCTTTCCAATCCTCCTCCCCTCTTTCCTTTCTCCTCCTCCCCTCCACCCACCAGCGTCAATACCACCTCTGGCATATGTCCTGCTAGCGCTTCTAATCGTCACGGTGGTGTGTGTTGTGCTCTTTGGCCTCTTCGGCACAGTGCATCACATCAAAGTGAAAGCCAGCAAGAAGAAACAGATGAGTGAGTAAACAGGCAATGGGTGCTCTTTGTGCTGGCATGTTGTTGCCGATAATCCTCTCGTCTCCCTCTTCAGCCTCTTTGGCACGGTGCATCACATTAAAGTGAAAGCCAGCAAGGAGAAGCAGATGAGTGAGTGAATCGGAGTAGTGGGATGCAGTGCAGTGCGGTACAGGGCATACGTGCGGGTGTGTGCTGGCGATGTTTCTATTCCGTTTTGGTGCCGTGATCCCTTCCTCTCTTCGCACGGTGCATCACATCAAAGTGAAAGCCAGCAAGGAGAAGCAGATGAGTGAGTGAAGGATGTGCGTTCGTGTATGTGTGGGCGATGCTTGCATGTTGACTTTCCAATCGATTAAAACATGCTTGCATGTTGCTGCCAATGTTCCCAACTCTTTTTTGGCCGCCATGCATTGCATTGCTGTGAAATCCCACCTGCCTGAGCTCTCAGAGTCACTTCTGCGCGCTGCAAGAATGTGGATGAGATAGGTCACATGCTGGCGTACATTTCTATTCCGCCATTCCCCATCCCCCTCCCTTTGCCTGTTAGCCCACCACCCACCAGCCCATCTGCCCCAGTTTCCAGTGCCACGCCTTCGCGCCGCAACCACAGGGATGACTCGCAAGCATGCATCACTTTCCTCCCATCCCGTCCTCTCCTCCTTCCCCCCCTTTTCTTCCCACCCACCAGCCCATCTGCCAGAGTTCTCGGTGTCACGCCTCCGTGCCGCAACCAGAGGCTTTTCCACGGAGCACGGTAGAGGGAGCTTTGGGACTGCTTATATCGCGTACGACCTCTTTCCAGAGGGCAGCGGAGGAGCGGAAGGAGGAAGGGGGCAGGGAGCAGCACATGGGCATGGGCATGGGTACATGCAGGCGAATTCCCATGCCATGCTGCCTGCTGTTCCAAACCCGGAGAGACACGGGTTGTTGAAACGAGCTCGCGACCCTGACAGTGAGTGTTTTTGCCCTGTATATCTCCCTGCGTATGCCCCTGCTTTGTTTTAAATCCGTTCCATTTTGCCTTCATGCCCCCCCCATTTTTCTGCCCTGACCTGTTTCCCTTGCATCCCACTTTCTTAGCCACTTTCTTTACCTTACCATCACCTTCCCCTTAACATTCTCTTTCCCCCCTCCCCACTCCCGTTGGTATCATCCCGTTGCTCCTTCCATGCACCTTCTCTCCGCTCCCCACTGTACCTTCCTGCAGGCTTCTCGGAATCTGCCTTCTGTCAGAAGGTGGCACTGCTAGCAGCAGCGAGCAACAGCCACCCGTGCATGGTGCATGTGAGGGGGTTCTGTGCGAATGGCGGGGAGAGGATGGTGGTACTCGAGATGGTCACAGGAGGCACACTGCGCCAACGCATGATCCGTGAGTGTCTCATTCACACCACCATCACAGTAAGGTAGAGCCATACACGCAGGGGAGGAGAGGATGGTGGTGCTCGAGCTGGTCACAGGAGGCACGCTGCGCCAACGCATGATCCGTGAGTGTCTAAGTCGCATCTTTTGCTTCAAAAGGTATCACTGCTGCTAGCAGCAGCAGCAGCAGCAGCAGCAGCAAGCAAGCAACAAGAGCAGCAGCAGCAGCAAGCAAGCAACAGCAGCAGCAAGCAAGCAACAGCAGCAGCAAGCAGGCAACAGCAGCAGCAAGCAAGCAACAGCAGCAGCAAGCAGGCAACAGCAGCAGCAGCAGCAGCAGCAGCAGCAGCAGCAGCAAGCAACAGCAGCAGCAAGCAAGCAACAGCCACCCGTGCATGGTGCACGTGAGGGGGTTCTGTGCAAACAGCGGGGAGAGGATGGTGGTGCTGGAGCTAGTAACAGGGGGCACGCTGCGCCAACGCATGATTCGTGAGTGCCTCATTCACGCCACCATCACAGTAAGGTAGAGCCATACAGGCAGGGGAGGAGAGGATGGTGGTGCTCAAGCTGGTCACGGGGGGCGCGCTGCGACAACGCATGATCCGTGAGTGCTGTAACAGTCTGATTGAAGGGGGGATGCTACACCTTGTGTCAGCTTATCCGTGAGTGCCTCATTCACATGTAACATCCCTTGTCTCAGAAGGTAGTGTTGTGTACGCAGGGGAAATGCGGGGCCTTTTGGTCAAAGGGCAACCCTACTGGTAGCAGTGAAGTGAGGTAATGTCTTTATTTTAAAAAGTAGTACTTCCAGTGACATGTATTCTCTCTCCTCGAGATTGGCAAAACCGAAAATTCATTTTCCCATTGTCCTCCCTTCTTTGTCCCCTCCTTTTTCTTTCTCTGTCCGCATCTTGATAGGAGGGGATCTGGACGCGCTGACGTGGCAGGAGAGGGTGCAAGTGGCAGTGGACGTGGCCTCTGCGTTGTATCACCTTCACTATAATCACACGCCGCCTTTTGTGCACCGCGCTGTGACTTCATCCAATGTGCTTCTAACGGAGGACATGACCGCCAAGGTACTGCCTGCCAGATTGAGTCAACTCTCTGCCAAATGTTTACCTCTATGCACCGTGTTGTTGTGACGTTGTCAAATGTGCTTCGAACGGAAGACATCACCGCCAAGGTACCGCCCGCCTGTTGTTTCCCTGCCAGCTGTTGGACCTAGGCAGCTTTGATGCAACGGGAAAACGGGGTTTCATCCATTGCAGTCGTTCCAAACAGTCCACCCCGTTTTCCCCACCCTCCCCCTCTCTTTCCCCCCACCCTTCCGCTCTCCCTTTTCCCCCTCCCTCCCCTGCCTATCACTCCCATGCCCCTCACCCTGCCAGCTGTCAGACCTAGGTTTGGCTCGAGGCAGCTCCGATGCTTCGGGGTTTCGTCCGTTGCAGTCGTCCCTCGGAGTGGCGACGACAGCAGATGTGCTGGCTTATGGGGTGCTGCTGCTGGAGCTTATAACGGGGCAGACTGCAGACGGGACAACACAGATTGTTGCTACAGTATGTGCTTTGTTATTCTTATTGAGTCGGCTTGTAAAGGCAGGATTGGCCTATAGGGTGCTGGTGCTGGAGCTTATAACGGGGCAGACTGCAGAGGGGACAACACAGATCGTCGCTACGGTGAGTGTCCTTTGGTCTGTATTCAGTCTGCTTATAAAAAGGGATTGGCCTATGGGGTGCTGCTGCTGGAAAATCCACAGGTGATGGCTCACATAGCAGATGCCCAACAAGGAGGGGAGTAACTTTAAAGTGTTGCCGTGTGCTCTTCGTCCCCTCCTGATCTTCTCTCTCCCACCCCGTTCTTCCGTACATCCCTCTATTCACACTCGGCCTGCTCTCTTTCAGCCACCCTTTTTCATTCTTGTTCTTTATGCTGCCAGCTGGTAGGAGAGTAGCTTCCAAACGTAACAGCGTTGTAACACGCACACCTCTTCTTCCTCTCATTCTCCTCCTTCCTCTGCTGCCCCACAGTCGGCCCCATCCCTTAAATGATCCACAGATGATGCCCCTCATGGGAGATTCGCAGCTGATGGGAGAGACGAGCAGCATTCCAACAAAACATCCCTCTCCTTCCTCCCTTTTCCCTCCTTCCTCCCCCCACCCAGTCCGCCCCGTTCCTGGACGATCCACAGATGATGCCTTTAATGGCAGACGCTCAGCTTGGAGGGCACTTTGATCGGCCACAATTGGAGGTGCTGGCATCGCTGGCACGCGCGTGTGTGCTGGTGAGATCACGTCTTGCTGTGCATGTATGCACATGAGATTGTGTAGGTCGAATTCTGTGCTCGGCATTCATGGCTCGCTTCCTCAAGAGCATCCCTGCCGCATGTCTCTGCTGGGAGGGCACTTTGACCGGCTACAGCTGGAGGTGCTGGCATCACTGGCGCGTGCATGTGTGCTGGTGAGGTGTTTGAGGCATGCACGTGTGTGCATACATGCACACCTCAAAGAGTGCTGCTTGCTCGGGCATGTGTGCATGCATGCACACATGTCCCCATGTCTGCTTGTCCCCATGTTCCCATGTCTGCCGGTCCGCACATCAGCATACCACCGATCCCTGTAACTCATGCCCCATGTCGGCATGTTCCAATGTCGGGACGTCACCACGTTACCATGTCCCCATGTTCCCATATTGACATTTCCCCATGTCCTCGTGTCGACATATCTCCCTGTACCGTCCCACCCCTTGTTTCTATGCGAGCACACAGGACGACGCTGCCGCCCGGCCCACGATGCACGAGATACGGCAGGCCTATGAGCAGCACCTTCAGGTGGATCCTCAGGTGTTTGAGCCCCTGGACGTGGACATGGGGGATGTGCCACTGGGGCATATCGGGACTTTGGAGGGACATGCAGATGACGCTGCTGATGGTGATGCTGATGGTGCTGGTGGTGATGATGATTATGGTGCTGCTGCTCCTGGTTCTGTGTCGGGCATTGCTGCTGCTGCTGCTTCTCTTTCTGCTTCTCCTTCTGCTTCTCCCTCTGCTGCTACTGCTTCTGAGGCATCTCAATATTCTACCAGCAATTGGGCATCCAAAATTGTCGCCTCCATGAGTGCTGCAGCTGCTGCTCCTGCTGGGGGTGCTTATAACGAAGGGCAGGCCGGGCAAGGGGATGCAGACAGCAGTGTGCTTCTAGAGAGCGGCTTTTCTGCCCCACCTCCTAAGGGGGGAGGCAAGGCCAAGGGAAAGCAACGGCAAGGGGCAAGAGGGAAAGGAGGTGGGAGAGGAACGGGCGGGGAGGTAGGGGGAGTAGGGTCTTCTGTAGCAGGGGTAGCAGGAGTGGGAGGAGCAGCAGCAGGGGCATGGGCGGCGGTGGGGGGTGTGGTTGAGAGTGTGTCGAGAGGGGTGTGTGTGGGGGTGCCTGGGAGTGTGAGTGAGGTGAGGGATGCCGAGGCCGCTTCTCTGCTTATATCGAGACCAACAATGGAAAATGGTGGTGGATATTGATAAGCCAGCCAGGTGGTGATATTATAGCTGATATGATGTTACCATTATAAGGATACCCAACCAATCTTTCTGCCTGGTACAAAATTAATTTCTCTATGAATGGTGCTCATTGCTTATGGGAAAATGTATCGTTGTTTATAAGAGGCCCTATAGTAAGGAGATGGTCCCCTCCCCTGTGATTCACAGCAAAACATGCTGCACATTGCTGAGAGCATTCAGCTGGTAAGGAGCGCTACCTCTTTTAGAAGCACATCAATCCCCATGCAGAATTACAGGTTACTTTCATACATGCTCTCCGGATCCCGAATGTCCAACCCGCCACACCAATTTCGCCAATTAATTCTTCCTACTACCGTGCTAGTCCTCATCATCACTCTCCCCCCAGCCTCCGCCATCACCCATCTCTTAGTCACTGTCCATGGCATATTCATGCTCAATATCCTCATCCTCTCCACCACTCTCATCCTCTCCACCACTCTCATCCTCTCCACCACTCTCATCCTCTCCACCACTCTCATCCTCTCCACCACTCTCATCCTCTCCACCACTCTCATCCTCTCCACCACTCTCATCCTCTCCACCACTCTCATCCTCTCCACCACTCTCATCCTCTCCACCACTCTCATCCTCTCCACCACTCTCATCCTCTCCACCACTCTCATCCTCTCCACCACTCTCATCCTCTCCACCACTCTCATCCTCTCCACCACTCTCATCCTCTCCACCACTCTCATCCTCTCCACCACTCTCATCCTCTCCACCACTCTCATCCTCTCCACCACTCTCATCCTCTCCACCACTCTCATCCTCTCCACCACTCTCATCCTCTCCACCACTCTCATCCTCTCCACCACTCTCATCCTCTCCACCACTCTCATCCTCTCCACCACTCTCATCCTCTCCACCACTCTCATCCTCTCCACCACTCTCATCCTCTCCACCACTCTCATCCTCTCCACCACTCTCATCCTCTCCACCACTCTCATCCTCTCCACCACTCTCATCCTCTCCACCACTCTCATCCTCTCCACCACTCTCATCCTCTCCACCACTCTCATCCTCTCCACCACTCTCATCCTCTCCACCACTCTCATCCTCTCCACCACTCTCATCCTCTCCACCACTCTCATCCTCTCCACCACTCTCATCCTCTCCACCACTCTCATCCTCTCCACCACTCTCATCCTCTCCACCACTCTCATCCTCTCCACCACTCTCATCCTCTCCACCACTCTCATCCTCTCCACCACTCTCATCCTCTCCACCACTCTCATCCTCTCCACCACTCTCATCCTCTCCACCACTCTCATCCTCTCCACCACTCTCATCCTCTCCACCACTCTCATCCTCTCCACCACTCTCATCCTCTCCACCACTCTCATCCTCTCCACCACTCTCATCCTCTCCACCACTCTCATCCTCTCCACCACTCTCATCCTCTCCACCACTCTCATCCTCTCCACCACTCTCATCCTCTCCACCACTCTCATCCTCTCCACCACTCTCATCCTCTCCACCACTCTCATCCTCTCCACCACTCTCATCCTCTCCACCACTCTCATCCTCTCCACCACTCTCATCCTCTCCACCACTCTCATCCTCTCCACCACTCTCATCCTCTCCACCACTCTCATCCTCTCCACCACTCTCATCCTCTCCACCACTCTCATCCTCTCCACCACTCTCATCCTCTCCACCACTCTCATCCTCTCCACCACTCTCATCCTCTCCACCACTCTCATCCTCTCCACCACTCTCATCCTCTCCACCACTCTCATCCTCTCCACCACTCTCATCCTCTCCACCACTCTCATCCTCTCCACCACTCTCATCCTCTCCACCACTCTCATCCTCTCCACCACTCTCATCCTCTCCACCACTCTCATCCTCTCCACCACTCTCATCCTCTCCACCACTCTCATCCTCTCCACCACTCTCATCCTCTCCACCACTCTCATCCTCTCCACCACTCTCATCCTCTCCACCACTCTCATCCTCTCCACCACTCTCATCCTCTCCACCACTCTCATCCTCTCCACCACTCTCATCCTCTCCACCACTCTCATCCTCTCCACCACTCTCATCCTCTCCACCACTCTCATCCTCTCCACCACTCTCATCCTCTCCACCACTCTCATCCTCTCCACCACTCTCATCCTCTCCACCACTCTCATCCTCTCCACCACTCTCATCCTCTCCACCACTCTCATCCTCTCCACCACTCTCATCCTCTCCACCACTCTCATCCTCTCCACCACTCTCATCCTCTCCACCACTCTCATCCTCTCCACCACTCTCATCCTCTCCACCACTCTCATCCTCTCCACCACTCTCATCCTCTCCACCACTCTCATCCTCTCCACCACTCTCATCCTCTCCACCACTCTCATCCTCTCCACCACTCTCATCCTCTCCACCACTCTCATCCTCTCCACCACTCTCATCCTCTCCACCACTCTCATCCTCTCCACCACTCTCATCCTCTCCACCACTCTCATCCTCTCCACCACTCTCATCCTCTCCACCACTCTCATCCTCTCCACCACTCTCATCCTCTCCACCACTCTCATCCTCTCCACCACTCTCATCCTCTCCACCACTCTCATCCTCTCCACCACTCTCATCCTCTCCACCACTCTCATCCTCTCCACCACTCTCATCCTCTCCACCACTCTCATCCTCTCCACCACTCTCATCCTCTCCACCACTCTCATCCTCTCCACCACTCTCATCCTCTCCACCACTCTCATCCTCTCCACCACTCTCATCCTCTCCACCACTCTCATCCTCTCCACCACTCTCATCCTCTCCACCACTCTCATCCTCTCCACCACTCTCATCCTCTCCACCACTCTCATCCTCTCCACCACTCTCATCCTCTCCACCACTCTCATCCTCTCCACCACTCTCATCCTCTCCACCACTCTCATCCTCTCCACCACTCTCATCCTCTCCACCACTCTCATCCTCTCCACCACTCTCATCCTCTCCACCACTCTCATCCTCTCCACCACTCTCATCCTCTCCACCACTCTCATCCTCTCCACCACTCTCATCCTCTCCACCACTCTCATCCTCTCCACCACTCTCATCCTCTCCACCACTCTCATCCTCTCCACCACTCTCATCCTCTCCACCACTCTCATCCTCTCCACCACTCTCATCCTCTCCACCACTCTCATCCTCTCCACCACTCTCATCCTCTCCACCACTATCCTCATCCTCTCCACCACTCTCATCCTCTCAACCACTATCCTCATCCTCTCCACCACTCTCATCCTCTCAACCACTATCCTCATCCTCTCCACCACTCTCATCCTCTCAACCACTATCCTCATCCTCTCCACCACTCTCATCCTCTCAACCACTATCCTCATCCTCTCCACCACTCTCATCCTCTCAACCACTATCCTCATCCTCTCCACCACTCTCATCCTCTCAACCACTATCCTCATCCTCTCCACCACTCTCATCCTCTCAACCACTATCCTCATCCTCTCCACCACTCTCATCCTCTCAACCACTATCCTCATCCTCTCCACCACTCTCATCCTCTCAACCACTATCCTCATCCTCTCCACCACTCTCATCCTCTCAACCACTATCCTCATCCTCTCCACCACTCTCATCCTCTCAACCACTATCCTCATCCTCTCCACCACTCTCCTCATCCTCTCCACCACTCTCCTCACCATCACTCTCCTCATCCTCACCACCACTCTCCTCCTCCTCCGATGCCTCCCCGCCCGCCTCTTCCCTTTCCGCGTCCCCTCCCTCCCCCTCCTCCTCCTCCTCCCCCTCCCCCTCCTTCCCCTCCCACTCCTCCCCCTCCTCCTCCTCCCCCTCCCCCTCCCCCTCCTCTCCCTCCTCTCTCCTAGCAGGAACTCCCCTTGTGTCTCGCCTGGGCAGCAGAGGGCATTCACTGATGCGGCACTCCCGCAACGACGGCATTTTTCGAAGAAAGGGGGGCAGGCGAGTCAGCTTCTTGCACGCGCACACCTCCAGCTCCTCAAGCCTAGGCAGCTGAGTAAGCGAATCCGGCAAGCTTCTCAACTGCTTCAGTCCCCGAATCAGCAACTTCTGGAGGGAAGACAGCTTCCATATATCATCCGGAATGGTTGAGATTCCAAGCATGATGAGAGAGCAGGTTTGTAGCTTGGGTAGATTCACAAATGACGCTGGAAGCTCCATCAGCTTGAAGCAATCGATAATCTCCAGCGTCTCGAGCATTTTCAGCTGCCCGAGAGACTCGGGCAGCTGTCGCATTCTCGAGAGGTAGACCAGCTGCAAGACACGCAGCCCTGCAAGCCCCCCAAGGGTCTCGGGCAGTGCTTTCAGATTAGAAGACCAATCAACCTTAAGCCTTTGCAGCTGAGAGAGTTGAGAAATGGAATCAGGGAGAGATTCAAGCCTGTTCATTTCCAGGAGCTCCAACTGCGTCAGAGAGGAGAGGCGACCGAGGGATGGTCCAAACGACTCAACATTGAGCTCTTTAATCTTGAGGCTCTGAATGGAAGGAAGCAAGGGCCTGCTGCTGCTGCGGCTGGTGCTGCCGGTGCCGGTCACAAAACCCCTGGCAGTACGTCTAAGCACCCTCTCATCACCTAGCACCGCACTTAACCCATCACATGCCCGCACCTCCAAAGCCCGCAGACGGGGCAGGTCAAGAAGCGACGGAGGGAGACGTATCAGGCCGTCCATTTTGAAGATCCTGACCTCCTCGAGTGCATCCAGCCGTCCAATCCCCTCAGGCAGGACCGATACTTTGGGGCAGTTTCCCACTTCCAAGCTGGTGAGGGAATTAACGCCCGAGAAGGAGGCAGGGAGCGCGGATAGCCGCGGCATAGAGTCGAGCGACAGCTTCTTGAGGCTTTTCAAGCTGCCAAAGCCATCTAGCAGCGTGCCCCTGAAGCGCTGTGCGCGTTCAATCTTGAGGGTTTCGAGAGACGTCAGGCAGGAGAAGGACGGAGGGAGGCGGGTGAGAGCGGTGCAGTCCAGTAGAAGCAGATGGCGCAAGGAGTGCAGACCCTTCCCCATGTCGTCTGGCAGCACTGTGAGGCGGGGACAAATGTTAATCTCCAGGCGCTCGAGAGAAGACAGCTGGGATAGGGAGTCCGGGAGTTGCTGCAGTTGCCCACACTCCAGAAGTTTTACCTCTCGAAGAGCAGCCAGCTGTCCAAAGGATTCGGGCAGATGTGTGAGCAGCGGAAGGCGCTTCATGCACAGCTTCTCCAAAGAAACCAACTGCCCGAACTTCTGGGGCAGATGTGTAAGGCGTTGAAGGTTATAGAGGGAAAGCTCTTGAAGTGTGGTAACCAGGGCGACGGAATCAGGTAGGGCTGTGAGACTTTCCAGATTTAAGGCGAGCGTTCGAAGCGTTGACAGCTGCCCGAAATCTTCGGGCAGCAATGCGAGTTGTCTTATGTCAAGGTTGAGGTTGGTGAGTGCAGGCAGGCGGGGAAGAGACACGGGCAGCGACGTGATATCACTGCACTGCTTGATGGTTAGAATCTTCACTCGCTGCAAATGCTCCAGGGCCGCAATCAAGCTGCGCATTCCCGTGACTTCAAGGAGAGTAATGGTTTCCAGAGCCCTCAATCCACTGAAATCAACCCGCGACGGAGGAAGGATCCTGCTATTTAGAATTTCCAGAGTGGCGAGACAAGAAAGCTTGGTGAAAGAGGCCGGCAGCTGCAACGCCGAGCAGTAACTCAGAGTAAGACGGTTCAGCGCGGCAAGCTGCCCGAAAGAATCTGGAAGTGACGTCAACCGGCACATGTGGAGCTGCAGCCTCGTTAAGGAAACCAGATTGCCAAAATCTGGAGGCAAATTCTCGAGCCCATAACTGTTCAGCGTGAGGCTTCTGAGGGACTGTAACGAGGTAAGAGTGTCGGGAAGACGCGTAAAGCTGCCCCGGAGGATTAAATTCGTGAGCCGTGTGAGTCGGTCGATCGACGTGGGAATGACAACACCATATGAACAAGACAGTTTAAGATCTTCCAGTCGCACACATCCCTCGAACAGCGCGAAAAGGCTCTTCTCAGATAAAAATCCACATGACATCGGTTCGACACAAAGCTGTGTCAGGTGCGGACACGTGCTGGCGAGGCGAGAGAATAGAAAAGTAGAGGCGGAGGTAAGGCTGTTTGAGGATAGAATGAGCTTTCTGAGGTTCGTGAACGGCGACAGAAGCTGAAGGAGCCAACGCGGACTCATACGAAGGTTATTGGCAAAATGAAGCTCGTATTGCACGCTGTACGCGACGCGATGCCATTGCTTGCTAACACGTGCGTGCTCCAACTGGCCATCAGGTCGAACCAGAAAACGCAGGATCCGAGTAAGAATATCTTCAGGTAATCGCTGGATAGGCGATCCGGGTGCCATTGTGAAATGAGGAGAAAATAAGAAACGAAATTAATGGCTGTCGAAGTCCGCTACTAATTAGGTAAGCCGACTACTAATCCTCAGACTGAATGAGTCTCTGGGGGAGCTGTCTATACATTTCTCGGAGGATCAGTGAAGATTTTCAACCCTTGGGCTTGTCAAGTTCATCGCACTCAACCGAGTCAGACCATTCCCCAGATACTCCCACGTAACACCACCTGCGAAATTGAAGGCGCAGGAGGACGAACTTTCAATCTCGATTCCGTGAGGATCACCCGCGTGCCTCCTTGGCCCCGAAAGCGCCGTGCTGTGGTGGCGTATCCGTTTGTGCGTGCTAATCCAGCACTCGTAAATGTAGATTTCTATTTTCAGGGAGCTCGATATATAAAATTGAGAATCAAGCTCCACAAGGCTGAGTGCACACACACAGCGAGGGCTACCTAGTTTAGAAAACACATAAACTCTTTATTTAAAATCACAGCCTATTTTCATACATGCGCTCCCAATTCCTAACGTCTAACTCGCCACACCAATTTCACTATTTGACTTATCCAACTAGTCATCATTGTCAAGAATGAAAGTGTTGGTTCATTGATGTGGGTTGGGGTACATATAACAAACCCTAACATCTGTACCCCCTAAGACAAACCTCACTACAGGCTACAACATTTGACACACCCCCATAGCCTAAGTGAGGGGTGTCAAGCAAAACCAAAAGTGTACGGTCACAAGACCAGTCACAAAGAAACAAAGCTCAGGGTGGATCACAACGTCACCACACACTCTGAGCACAAGCAACAGGGGCCACAAGGCCAGTTCGAGAGTTCACAAGTGTGTATAGCAAGAGTACAAGCAAAGCAAAGAGTAGACTCAAGCCTATAGACGACTAGAAACTGTGTCAACAAGGCCTAACTGCACACAACACATCTGGTGGTCACAAGGCGGAAGCGCCTTGGTGAAGATGTATGCAGTGTTGGCCTCGGACTCCACAAACTCGAAGCCTGTCCACGTCTCTGCAACTCTCGCAGAAGAAAGTACGTGGCGTTAATATGCTTCACACTGCTCTCCAGTCGCGGCTCTCGACAAAGGAGAATCGACGCCTTGTTGTCAGTGAACAAGGTCGGTGCAGAGCTCGGCCGCTCACCAAGGTCGGCGAGCAAGAAGGTCAACCAACGCAGCTCTTGTGCCGCCATGGCACCAGCGTAGATCTCAGCCTCAGCTGTAGAGGTCGAGACCGAAGAGGAGCGCGTGGACCGCCACGAAACAACTCCAAAACCCAAGCTGAAAAAGTACCCCTGAGTAGACCTATGAGTCTCAGCGTCTTCAGCGTAAGAAGAGTCATAGTGACCAGTAAGTACGACAGGCTGCTGCCCTCCAAGAACTAGCCCCACGCCTGATGTCGTCACTAGGTACTTCGCCACCCTCACAGCTGCCGTCCAGTGAACAGGACGGTGTCTCCCTTGCGCAACAAAGCAAGCAAGGATGCTGAGAGGGAAGGCGAGGTCCGGGCGAGTGCAAGTCATCAGGTACATGAGGCAGCCCACCAGCTCTGCGTAGGGACCACTAGACTCAAACGGCTCGTCAGGAAAGGGTCCAGTAAGTCTATGGTCAACAGCAAGAGGTGTGCGTTGTACTGTGGAGTGCTGAAGCTCGAACCGCTGAAGGACCTGCTGCACCATGTGTGACTCTGAGAGTGTAATGGTGCGGGCAGCTCTGTCCCTGGTGATCTGCAGGCCAAGGTAGCGGCGCAGCTCACCAAGGTCAGTGCACGTGTGTCTCTTCTGCAGTTCGGACTTCACGTCTGCCAAGGCAACCCTGTCAGCAGTGGCGAAAACCAGGTCGTCGACGTAGACCACGAAGAGTGTCGTGCCACTCACGAGGAGCCTGACGAAGACCGTAGACAGGTCGCCTCAGCCTCCACTGGGTCCCAGGAGGGAAAGTGTCAGTGAAGGCTGAGGGACGACGCAGCCAGACCTCCTCGTGTAAGCTACCCTGAAGGAAAGCAGTGGAGAAGTCGAGAGAGTGTAACTCGTAGTCTCTCTATGCTGCTACATGCAGTAACACCCGAAGAGTGGTCATCTTCGGGGTAGGCGCGAAGGTCTGAAAGAAGTCAACTCCCTCGCGCTGACTGAAACCTCTAGCCACGTAGCGCGCCTTGAAGACCAGAGGAGATCCTGGTGGCCGCTTCACCCTGTATATTCACATGCCATCGACTACGTTCGCCCCAGGGGGGGGAACCTCGTCGACGTAGGTGCCTGTGGATCTGTAGGAGGCCATCTCTGCGTCCATGGCAGCTCTCCACTGGGAGGCCCAAGGCCCTGACACTGCCTCAGCGTAAGTGCGAGGAGTCGGTATGTCAAGGGCGTCGGGGTCTCCCTCAGGGGCGAGCAGCATGGCACAGAGATGTGGGGAAGCGGCTGCCAGGAACTCTAGCTCAAACTGCCTGTCCTCTAGGGCGTCACAGCCAAGGGCAGACTCACCCCCGACGGCCAGAGGACTGGTAGGAGGAGCAGCCACAAGACCGGTGGCGTAGTCAAGGCGGCGAGTGGAGGCAAACTCAGTGACTGCGGCAGTAAGGGCGGAGACAGAGGAGACAGAGGCACGAGGGTCGGTAACAAGAGAGGCGAGAACACGAGAGAGAACAGGACGGTACGTGCGGTAGTAGTCAGTGACAGGAGTAGAGAGAGAAGCGGTGAAGGCCGACTCAGGAGGAGACGGAAGGAGAGACGGAGACGAACGAGGCGGACTAGAACGAAAGAGGGCAGTACGAAGGTCAGTAACGAGAACAGGAGACGAGGGACGAGCAAGAGGGGAGCGACGAGAGGCCCAAGTCTGAGAAGGAGGAGGGGACAACGGAGGCTGAGAACGAGGGAAAACAGCCGGGGAGGAGTCAGGAGGAGGAAGCGGAGGACCCGAGACGGGAAGAGAGGGGGAGGAGGAAGGAGAGCGGGAGGGGAGACCGAGGGCCCGAAGACCGGAGACAGGAGGAGGAGGCGGCGGCTGCTGCTGCTGCGGCGGCTGCTGCTGCTGCTGCGGCGGCGGCGGCGGCTGCTGCTGCTGCGGCGGCGGCTGCTGCTGCTGCGGCGGCGGCTGCTGCTGCTCCTCCTGCTGCTGCAGCGGCTCCAGCTGCTGCGCCTCCTGCTGCTGCGGCGGCTCCAGCTGCGGCTGCTGCAGCTGCTCCTGCTCCTCCAGCCACTGCAACTCTCTCTCCTCTCTCTCCAACTCTCGCTGCTCCTCACGGGCACGGCGAACACGAGCCTGGTGCCGGGTCGGGTAGGGGTGGGGGGGAGGAGTAGTGTCGGGGGCTGCGGCAGCCCCGGGACCGCCCTCCAAAGCACCTGGCACACCACCCCCAGAGTCAGCACCACCAACAGCAACACGACCAGGCTCACCAGGACCCGAAGAGGGTGCACCCGCACCCCCAGACGTAGCACCCCCAAAGTCAGCAGGACCAACACCAGCTCCCGGAAGACAAGAGTCTCTTGCAGCCACGGGCTCAGCTCCAACTCCAGCACCCCCAGAGCTAGCACCTGTAGGGCCCTCTCCACGAGCACCGGCTCCCGCAGGGTCTGCAGCAGGCTGCGAGGAGGACTGCGGGGAAGGAGGCTGCACCTGAGGGGCTACCGAGGGGGGAGGGGTAGCCTGGGACACACCTGACGGGGCGGGACCAGGGGGGGGAGGCTGTACCGGGGGAGCAGGTTGAGGAGCGGAAGTCAGGAAGAGAGGGGGAGGAGGAACCGGGAGACCTCGACTGGGGTACCTGACGTAGTAGGGGGTGGACTCCTCGAAACGGACGTCACGGGAGTCAAAGAACCGGTGAGAGGGAGGGTGGTAAAAGGTGAAGTCAGAGGAGTCCTCAGGGAAACCAAGGAAGACACAGGGAACGGTGCGAGGCGAGAGCTTGTCTGCGGAAGTGTCGCGGACAAGAGCCAAGCAACCCCAGACACGAAACCTCGACGCAACACCAGGGGACCCGGTCCAAAGACTGGTCGGTGAAGCCTCTGGCCGAGAGACGCGTGGCCAGAGGTTCAGCTGGTGAGCGGCGTACCTAACCGCGTAGGGCCACAGAAAATGGGGGGCACGGGCGTGAGTCAAGGAGGTGCGGGCGATCTCCATGACCAAGCCTATGCGGCGCTCAGCAACCCCATTCTGCTGTGGGGACTCTGGAAGCG